CTTGGGTTCATGACCAGTGTGTACCCTTATAGACTGTTCAGTCACTGGCAGAATTCTACAAAAATTAAGTACTTTAGGTAATAATCTGTGATTTTCGAGGTTTGGAATATTTAGATTTTAGTTACGAGATAAAATGTGAGTTAAACATAGATAATAAATTTAAACTAGACTTTATTACTATATGAAACTATCTGAAATACTAACTTCCCAAATTATATAAAATCAGTCTATGGTCGGTTTGTCTAAATCATAAATACATTGTGATGCCAGAATATTTATAATAACGTAATAAAATCATTTTATTTATTTAATTACATTCACATAGTATGGAATAATGAGACAATATTAACGTTATCAACAACATTACATGATAAAGCCATGCTGCAACTATATTATGTTGGAAGTACGAATGGATTGGTTCGACCAAGGTAGGACCACACTCTCACAGAATACCTGCGTAATATAGCAGCCAAATGTTGCTGTGTTTCGTAGAGAACCTTTTTACTGGAAACGAGGCATTCCATCTTAGTCCTCAGGGCATTTTGATTCTTAATCGAGGATAAATGTAGATGTATATGGGCCACAGCATTCACTTACCACCAGGTGGACTGTATGCTAGTTTGTTGTCCCCATTCTATAAAAAGAATGTATCATCCTTTCGATTATTTTTCTTTACATATGAACATTGAGAGTACAACAAATATTTTTATTCGCCTTTTTTTCCGCGTCTTTTTTTTTTGGCTGAAAAATAGACTTTAGAAATATAGTACTTTATTTCTAAAGTCATTCCATCTTATTACAAAAAGTATTTTGTAATTAATCTCAGTTTTAAACTAGAGCCTGTTTCAATAAAGAATCTCCATAGTGAACATGCAAACTATGTGCAAGTATGAAATTTAACAGCAAATGTCAAAGTTTACATAAAAAAGACAGAGGCTACCAATAAAACATATTTTGTAGTAAGTCCGATAGTTTCTTATATTTTTCTTGGCTTCTAAAAATTGCTTAATGAAGCATTTTTAAATAAAAAAATTGACTGACTTCACTTCTTACACCATTCAAGTAATTAAAAATAATGTCTAAGTGTGATAAAATTAATTTTATGTCCTCTTATAAATATTATATTAATGTAAGCTGTGAATCTAAGTGGACTTATTTTGTAATATCTTAAAAGTATGGATCAATGCAAAAGACAATAAATGGAAATTGATCACTTTTTTTACCCAAAGCGTATAAAAATTACAATATTACAGAGCTATCTTTTTTTATAGGATAGGGTGACAAACGGGCACACAGTCCACCTGATGGTAAGTGGTTGCAGTGGCCCATAGACATCTACATCTATCCTCGCTTGCGAATCAAAATGCAGATGCATTGTCACCCATGAGGACTAAGATAGAATGCCTCTTTTACAGTAAAAAGGTTCTCCGGTTCTCTACACTCACCATACGAAACACAGCAGTTTTAAGCTGCTATTTTTTCAAGCGGACCCATTCGTGCTACAACTATACTACTAATATAGATGCAGCATGGCTCTACCACGTATAAAGGTAAATATTAGAAGTAAGCTTGAATGCAGTTAGTTCTCGCAAATTTAGATAAAATCATAGCATATCTTAACCTGAAGAGAAGTGGCTTTTTATTTAGAATTTCAGCATAATCAACATTCAAAGTTATAAAAAAAAGGATAAGAATAGATTTTAAAGATATCAACTATACACACACATTCTTTTAACAATGAAAGGCAGGTAAGCTGCGTAATGGGTAAGGACTGGTTGTGTATATTGTGTGTAAGCAAAGTGGTACCTTACAACACTGCTACTCCTCAGCAAATCCTGCCTCTGGCTAATCTGTACCCCCTTGTAACCCGACATGCCTTTAATATGTAGGTACAATTCAGTCACGTTATGAATCAGCCATGGGGGGAGGTGTCTTTTGTGATTACGTGAACAAACAGGTTGCAATTAGTTCGACATATTTAATAATACGAAACTGCCTTGCAAAACGATTGTCGGATTACCGCGGGTCAACTATACTTTAGAACAGCTTGAAGTTTTGTTCCAGCTTCACAATTGGTGGAAGGATAACCCGTGTCTTTTATCCCACTCTTTCCACCACGTCAGGACGAAAACATAAAAAGGATCACGTTCACGTTACATCACCCACACAATGTCGGAATATAACTGAATGAACCTGTTATTTTTTACTTCGTATGACAGGTCCTAATATATTAGCTTAGGTGTTGCGCAAACAGACACTTTTGTGTCTTGTGTGGGATACAAGCTACCAATGAATATTTTATTTTCATGTAATCAATATTAAATAAGTCATTCCTTGCGCAGACGCAGGCACTATTTGTGTCCAGTGTCTTCCACTTGACACATACCGACCGCCAATCAAAAAGTGTTCGGTGTAGGTAACTGGAAACTTTAAGTCATCAGTTGAAGACACAAGCAACACAATGCAGATTTCCTTACAATTGTACCACGCTGACAATGACTGATATGCGTGTAAATATTTACGACGACGACGACGACGTCAACATGTAATCAACACAACAACACATCGACATACAAGGTGAAACTCACGGAAAACAAACAACAAATTGTTAAAAGTGTCCAGATGTAGCAACTGGGGACTGTGTCCGATTGCCGCTATCAGACAGCAACTACGGTTTCCTGTGATGATGTTGTGCCATGTGCGTGAGCGCGAGGAATTTGTCTTGGTAGGTTATTCTTACCTATTTTTCTGTCAGTAAACAGTGCTTTCTTGCTGTGGACTGATCTGCATAGTATAGAGAGCCAGTATAATTTTTTTTTATAGGATAGGGTGACAAACGAGCACACAGTCCACCTGATGGTAAGTAGTTACTGTGACCCATAGACATCTACATCTATCTGTCTGTCTCCGGTTTTCTACACTCACCATACGAAACACAGCAGCGTTAAGTTGCTATTTTACGCTGGTTTTCTGTGAGAGAGTGGTCCTTCCCCGGTCGAGCCAACCCATTCGTGCTACAACTATACTACTAATATAGCTGCAGCATTGCTCTACCATGTATAATAATTACAAGCTTTGAGGCACTCCATCTTAGTCATCAAAGGTTCAAAGCACCTATAGTCTCTTTTGGATGAAAATTGCTACAGGTATCCATGGACTGTAGTAGCCACAGTCCATGGATACCTGTCAGGTGGGGTTGTAGGTTCATTTGTTCAGTATTGTAAAAAATGTGTCTCTGAATTCAATTACAACTGGTTGTGACTGTGTTGTGTGTATATTTACTCTAAATAGTACTGCATTATATTTTTTATAACTTTAAATGTCAAACATGCTAACAGTATGTCTGATTACTTAAAATCTATGCCAATTTATATGGAATCTTAAAAATAAAAACTTCAGCACTTAAGGCTAAAGGTGTAATGCCTTACAGCCTGTACTTATACTGCAGTAACAGGTCTAGGATGCCCTAAGATTGCCTAGAATATAGAAAGATAAAGGGCCTACCAATTACCTACCTACCAGTTCCTACAACACTGACAAATTACTTCCAATGAAACTAATTTATTGATTTTGTTTTAAATACCTAGTTAATATTTTTAAGGATTTTAAAACAAAGGTGTTGTATATAAAAAGACAATGGTGTGGATTTGAAATTAAATAGAATCACAAACAGTGTGCTTCAAATAATATAAAGTTCCCCTGATTACCGAAAAGCACAGAAAATTTACGATTTTAAAACATTTCCACCCAAGTGTGATTGTGATTATACATGCACTAAGATCAACATAATAAATAATATATATAATACATAAATATATAATATGATTACAGCAATATAATTAATAATATATATAATATTTATTACATTGTTTTGAATGCATGTACAATTACTACTTACTTGAAACTAATGAAGTATATTTATTTTATTTTATTATTGAATTAAATAATTAATTTATATAATTTATATTACTTGTTAAAATGAGGTTTTTGATTTAATGACTGAAGAGGTTAATTCAGCAAACAGTATTTTGTATAGTGGTAATTAATATAAAAAAATTGCTACAGTATTTTAATCTAATTTCTGGTCTATAATATAAGAAATTGATAAAAATACAGAAGTCATTCTTCAGTACTATGTTAAGTTAATTGGTGAAAAAATAGCAATAACGAGTAAATAAGTCATCACCATATTATATAAAAGAAAAGCTTAGGTAGAATAATTAACATAGGATAATAAAAGAAACATATCAATTAATGGTTATCATACATCATCAGTAATCGAAAAGCCTGCCAATTACAAAATTATTATAATATATTGATTCACTAAAGAATGCAAGTTGTCTATAAAACAGCTGATAAAACTTATGAACACTGATATTCATTAATAAGCATTAGTTACCTAGCAGAAAATAAGTAATTACATATCTAAGACACAAAGACACTATAACATTATTCATTAGTAATAAAGAATATAGATTTTTCAAGTTTACTTGTGTTTAGTTTATTAAATCTCAAATTTTGTTCACATAGTTTCGACTTCAGTTATCTGTTGTTAAATATACAATTGTTATTAACATGCATGCAATGGTTAATACAATATGTAATTTTCTAAGTTAATAATCCGTAACTTTTGTCTGCCATTTCGATAGAGGAGAGACCTTGCACAATATTACTCGATACTTATTATATTAACAATATACTTTATATGTATATTATCTCTGTTTAAAATCAATATCTGTTTAAAAAACTCATCCTAGACATTACGCATTGTCATTCATTTTCGTGTGTTGTTACAAAATATACGATCAGCTGATTTCTTTGTTTGACGAATGCTACAGATTTTTGGCTAACTCTGTCGTCTGTAAAATTTTGACACGTCAAACATTTTATTTAAAACAATCTTTAGGAATATCTTTTGCGATTCAATAATAGCATTTTAAAACTGAGGATGGTAAAGAGTTTTGCAAATAACTCCATAAACAAACCTTGAAAGTTCCTACCTTTATAGTGCACTCGGAGATTATTTTGCGACAGCCCGATGTAGCTGAATTTGTCTTTTGTGCTCCAAGATCTAGGCAAGGGTGTCTCATCTTCATTCACATTTGGATAAAGCAACTTTAAACGATCTACTGTATCACTTTGCACTTGATTTTGGGAATCCATCGTTCCCCGTCCATTACCTATCGCAGCCATTTCTAATTTCTGTAATTCATAAATCTTGTCTGTCAGGTCAGTGACGTCACATCCATTGGTTTTCTCAAATGTCTACAGATGGCATTATTTTCAGTATCATAGAGAAAACCATTGATAAGAACAATTCAAAACTTAAAAACCTTAAAATAAAGGAGAAAATAGTAAAAGCTATTTCCTAAACATTGATAAGAATAAATTTTATGCTAGTATTTTTTGTTAAATAAATATAAAGAAAAGATTTAACACATATTGAATTTTGTAGATGACAAAATACTCAAAACAATAATTAAGATAATCACTACAGAAACTATACAACAACTGCGATAAAATAAGAAATCAAACAGTCAAACATATCAATCGGAATCAGATACGATGAATAAAAATTACATTGTAAAATATCTCAAAGAAATTGAAAAAACAATTGCGATAAAAGTAAATTTAGTAAAAGAACCCAGTGAACTTTTGGAATCAAAGCAACAATACTATGATGAAATTTTAAAGGTTTGTGTGCTTATTCTATAATTTTACATTTGTGTCATCATGTAACAAGTTTTGATACTATAGTTTGTTTTAGATTTACCAAGAGGCATTTGAAAGATTGATTGAATATTCAGTAACGTTTTCCAAACTTTTAAATGAAATAAATAATGCTTATAGAAACGCTTTACGTGCTAGAGACGAACGCATTTCATTATTTATCACACAAGACGTAAGTACATTCACACATTAATAAAGTTTCACGCCTGTTACGCAGTGGGATAGGCAGAGACTACGGACATCCATATGACAAGATATTGACCTAGATACCTCTCTCGCTTCTATCACATCGATCTTTGACTTAATGAACTATTTTCTTGTCAAAAATTCTTGTTCGAATACAGCAATTTTATAGGTCAAGATGTAATAGCCTACGTCTTTACCTATAAAATTGCTGTTTTTTATGAAATTAGTTACCTAACGTAATTTTTTGTATATTTTTTATTTCTATTAATCAAACTAATCACCCATGCAATCGATGCATCTTTGCCAACGCAGTTAATTGATGCCCTTCTTGAAGAAATCAGTTGGACGGGATACAACAAATTCTTTAAAGGTATTTTATACTACCCTCGGGTTTTAAATGTTTTTGCCGCCAAAAAGTTATCCAAATTCTGGAAAAAGTAGCAGCCTGTAGGCGCAAGGTCTTGTGACTACGGAGGATGATAGAGAGCTTCCACCACCAGCTCTTGTAACTTGGAGATTGCCTGTTGTGCAATATGAGGTCGCGCGTTGTCGTGCAGAAGTAGCGGGCAAGAGCGACTGACTAAAGCTGGTTAGAGGCGTGCGAGCTTCTCCATCAATGTGTTCAGTTCTTCACAGTAAACATTTGCAGTAATGCTCATCCCGTTTGGTAAGAAACTGTGATGAATCATACCAGCGCTAGACCACCAAACAATGATCATCACGTTTCTAGGGGTACGTTTTCATTTAAGGCATTGTGTAGGTGCTGAATCAGGATCCAACCATCTTTCTGAGCGCTTGCGATTGTCTAACAGAATCCATTTTTCATCGCAGGTAAAAATATGGCTCAAAATTCCTTCGTTTGTGTGCCTGTAGAGCAGAGCAAGGCATGTGTTGACGCGTACTTCGCGCTGGCGACCACAGAGTTTTTGAGGCACTTATTTATCAAGCTTTTTTAGCTTGTCAATTTGATGCAAATGGATCAAAATTGTTTTGATGGTAACGTTGGAAGCTGCTACTAATGCAGGTGTAGATTGAGTATCATCAGCTTCCACAACGCCTTTAATTCGTAATTGTTGACCAAAGCTTTCGGACGACCAGGAGGTTCATTTTTCAGATTGAAATTTCCAGAACGGAAGCAAGCAAATGTCGTTGATGTTGCGTTCCGCTTGTGCCGCGTTGCTGTCGCGATGGTACTCATATTCCATAATTACTCGAGTTTTATCGTATCCATGATGACGAAAAAATTAAAATTTTATGTAAACCTAACGTTAATCAATAAACATAAATTAATTTTGAAAAGGGATTCCTTGTTTTTAAAATAAATTAATTTGAAATTAGAATTCTTAGCCAGACAAAAATTATTTTGATTTGAAATGGCCAGTACTGCAGAACGGCAATTTCATAGGTAAAGACCTAATATATTGTATGTAGAGATCGTCTTATTTAAAACAGTATACATCTCCCTTTTATTTTTTGTAGGTTTTATCACTTTTTACACAGAAAAGTTTTAAAAGTAATATACCTACAAAATGCACACAAATATTACAAATAAATGCAAAAACGCAACGTCAAAAATTAATAATTTTACTGATAATTTCATAGTGAACGGCACACACCACCAAGGTCAAGTGCGTACACAAAACACATATTGAGTGCGTAATTGTTGCGTTTTGGAAAAAAATCAAATTCTAAACTTTCCATCCAAAACATAAACAAATAGTTGTCTAAACCAAAAATTATGTGGTCATACAAATCTAAGTCTTGTGTCTGATGTCCTAAATATCATTTAAATTTGACAACTCTCACAACTACACAAACTTCGACCTTATTGTTAACGATCTTATAATTATATTTAATCATGATCATGATGATGATGATGTGCACCGTTGTGTGATAACTACCAAAACATCGCAACGAAATCCATATTCGCTTCATCTCTTTCTATACGTATTTATAATACCGTCGCAAGAAAAAGAAACAACGAATATCAGCGAAGGACATCGGTTAGTTCGTGGGCCGTGTTGGCATATGGTTCCAGTTTGCGTTTTACGTTTCGTACGTTGGTTAGTTGGTTTTGGTTGGATATGTGATAACGGTTATGTACTTAGATTTATCAATATATGATATTTGATAACATAACGTTATTAGTTACGTTTTGTTATATCGGTCTCATGCCTACTACCTAGTCAAAGACCTTTCGTTAATCCTCCATCTACGTTCATACCGATTTTTACATGTTGGTTCACCTCAACACCTGGGGTTACCAAAGAGAATCTAAGATGTTGACATTAACGTTGACATTTTAATTTTATTTTTATGCTGTGCTAAAGAGTATAAGGCACGGTATAACTGTGCTGTCCATGGTTCCCAACTTAGGGGTTTCCCCCCTATTAATTATCACGGTTAAGAGTCCTTATTATCTATTGAAATGCTACCAAGTGTGATGATGATTTGATTTACATTGCAACGAAATAGCACATCATTTATAACATTTAATCCATCTAAAATGTATGTTTATTTAATATCCAAATGTATGATTTTAGTATATCGGAACAATCAGAAGAAAACGTATATTCAAAATATTAAATAATTTATATTTAAAGAACATTACAAAGCATTATACTTATTTTTAGGGAATTTCCAAGTAAATAAGATGATTTTAGGGGTTCTTGACTTAACCTTTAGGGGTAAATATTTTTTGGAATTGGTAACACTAACACTGGTACTATCTATCATCTTTCTTTTCATGTTTTGTTGTTTGTTCCAGTTTATAAAAAGTACTCAAGCCTCCCTTAAGGGTAAAGTTAACACACTCCAATATGCTGATGATTTACTCCTCTATGTCTCTGGTGATTCTGTTGACAACATGTCTGATACTATGACATATTCCCTTAAGTTGCAAAAGTTTGGCTTGACAATAACTGTCTAAGCCTTTCGGTTCCTAAAAGTAGTACAGTCTTATTTTCACGCATGAGGCTTCCTCCACCAGTGTCTATATTTTATAATAACATTAGAGTTCCCGTTAAAAGTAAAGCAACATTTCTTGGGGTAATTTTAGACTCGAGACTTACAGGAATCCCTCATTGCTACTATATAAGTGCCAAATGTGAGAAGATTCTAAATATACTGCGCTGCCTCTCTGGAGTTTGGTGGGGAGCCCACCCTTTCTCTCTAAAGCTTCTATATAATGCCCTAATAAGGAGTATTTTAGACTATGGAACATTTATTCTTGAACCCTGTAATGCAGTAACTCTCCATAAGTTAGATATTATCCAGTCTAAGGCTCTGAGAATAATTGCTGGGGCTATGCGGTCGAGCCCTATTAACGCTTTGCAGGTTGAATGTTCTGAAGCGCCCCTGCATCTCAGACGACAATTTCTTTGTGACAGGTTCCTGTTTAAAGCATTCCAAGTCTATAATCATCCTCTTTACTCTAAGTTACGGTCTCTGTTGGAATGTATGGACTATCCGTACTGGGCTCATAAATCGCCGCCATGCCTTATTGTTAGTCTCCAAAAATTCTTAGCTCTTCAAGCTCCAACACATAGATCACAGTTCCTTCCTATATTTTGTGTTAACTATGATGCCTTAATTTTAAAACCATCTATTTTGTTTGATTTCGGTATATGTAAACAAGATCCTTCTGCCAACGCCAAATTTATTGATATTATTGACAGTGACAGCCGATGGAAACATTGCCATTTAATTTTTAGCGATTCTTCCAAACCCGGTTCCGAGGAGTGTGTGGGAGTTGGCGTTATCCATCAATAGTTTGGCATTGTACAGAAAATAAAATTGCCTCCAGAGACTTCAGTATTTACTGGATAATGTTTTGGTCTGTTGAAGTCTCTGGAGTACATTTTAATCATGAAGTTAAAAAACTCAATAATTTTTACCGATGCTAAAAGTGCCCTCCAAGTCTTGGAAAGATTTCCTTTTAGCAGTAACAGAAATAATCATCCATTATTATTGCATGTCGTGATTTATTTTATCAGTGTTGCATCAAAAATTACACAGTTTCTTTTGCTTGGATTCCGGGGCACTCAGGTATCTTTGGCAATACCAAGGCCGATAGCCTTGCCAAAGCTGCAGTCAATGACGGAGATCTAGTTCCGTACAAAAACTTTTGTTGTGATTTGGCTCTCCTTCCTAAATCCCAGTTATTGAATTCTTGGACACACATTTGGCATTCTTCAAGTCAGAATATAGGTCGTTATTATAGCACGATCCAGGTGGATATACCTCCTAAACCGTGGTTTTCAAATCTGACGTTTGGTAAAGCTATCACTTCGACCCTTATTCGTATGAGGCTGGGCCATGCATGCATTCTCTTCCATTTGGCAAAGCTTAAACTTTTGCCTAGCGATATATGTGAGTGTGGCAATGACGTTGGGGATTTTAATCATATATTCTTTGCTTGTCCTTGACATCACCGTTCCGCTTTTATTTCCTCGCTTTTGTCCATTAAAATTCTTTTTCCTACTTCAATTTCTGTCTTATGTAAATATTGATGTATATAGAATTTTAGCCAGTTTCATTTTTCACAACAATATAAAATTATAATAATTTATGTACTTATATAAAGCTTATATACTAAATTTACCTGATCCTTTTCCAAATTCCGTTCCAATTTCCAATTCAAAAAAATAAATCTTACTTCCTAACCTTTTTGCATGGCTGACGCACAAACCGTGCAGGCCAAGAAAGGAAAAAAAAAAGTACTCTGTCTGTGGTTGTTTGTTTCAAAGAGAATATAACCACTACGTTTAGTTTGTTTGTCGTTGTTGTGAAATGTGAATTGAACCAAGTCAATTGGTTTGTCAATGTTATTGCTTGATGTGGAATTAAAGTTGTGATTTTTATTTTATTTTATTGATGCATTATTTTTCTGCGTCATGGTTTGAAGAGGTAACAGTCTGTGTAAGATTAATTAAAAGAAAATACACATGTATTTAAATTCTGAAAAATGGAGTGTGAGCAATTTGGGAATAGTAAACTGTTAGTTCTCGATGGAGGTTTCTCATCGCAAATATCGTGCCATGCTGGCACTAAAGCAGATGGTGATCCTTTATGGAGTGCACGGTTCCTTCAAACTAACCCTGATGACGTTTTTCACACTCACTTGGATTTTCTTCGAGCGGGTGCTGATGTTATTTCAACCAATACTTACCAGGCATCAGTCGAAGGATTTGTAAAGCACCTTGGTGTATCATCTGAGGAAGCTTTAGATCTAATTAGACTAGCCGTGGACTTTGCTAAGAGAGCTCGTGACACATACTTAGAAGAGAATGATGGAACATCCCGCCGCAACTTGAAGCCCTTAATTGCTGGTTCAGTTGGTCCATATGGTGCTTATCTGCACGATGGTTCAGAATACTGTGGCAATTATGCTGATGAAATATCCAGTGAAACTATGAAAGAATGGCATAAACCTCGTATAAAAACTTTATTGGAATCTGGGGTAGATTTGCTTGCAATAGAAACAATACCATGTTTTAAAGAAGCAGAGGTCCTTGTCAACTTGTTAAAAGAATATCCTTCAGCTAAAGCTTGGCTCTCATTTAGCTGTAAAGATGATAAAAGTCTTGCCCATGGTGAAGACTTTCAAACAACTGTTATAAAGTGCTGGGAGGCTAATCCAAAACAATTAATAGCAATAGGGGTGAATTGTTGTACTCCTAAAGTTGTCTCTAACCTGTTGAGAGGTATTAATGATGGCAGAGAACAACTGATTCCTCTTGTAACATATCCTAATTCAGGAGAAACATATTGTCCTGAAATTGGTTGGATAGATAAAGATAAAATTGATTCTATTGACAAGTATGTCCACGAGTGGCTTGATCTCGGTGTGAAATATGTTGGGGGATGTTGTAGGACCTATCAGGAAGATATCTCTCGCATTTGTGCTTCAGTTGACAGTTGGCAATCTATTAAGCAAACTCAGAATTAAGGATAATATACATTTTTATTTTTTTATGCTTAGTTAATTTTCCTTAAGGTAAAAGTGCCAGGATAACTTGCGAAATTCAAATTTTCTTACGTTTTTTGCAATTCTTAGGTCAATGTCAGGTTGTATGTTTAATAAATATGATTTGTGACCGTAACGAGTAAGTATTTACAAAGTTATTATCATGAATACAACCCTGTAAGTTCGTATAATCCCATTGTATGGCTATTTCCAGAAAAACTCATTCAGAGAGATTATATGAACTTGGAGGGTTGTGTTGGTGATTTTAATGATAACAATTCTGTAAACACATACTTGTTACGGTTGCGAATCATCTTTTGTTAAACATTCAACCTGAACTACAAATTCCATAAAACGTAAGAAAATTTGAATTTCGTGTGCCACTCTGGAGCTTTCACCTTAAACAAGTTTCCTTTTGATATAAAGTTAGGTTTAATATATTTAATAATGATGATTGCTATATTTTATATTATATACTCAGTAACACCTGACTGATGTTAGAATTTTATCCATTAGCCTAAAGGACTTGATTGATGCCTGTATAAAAATAAAAACAATTTTACTTAAAAAAAGTAATTACTATTTTTAGAAAGTATTTGGAGTATCACAAAAGAAGAAGGAAAGAGATGATAAAATGGAAAAGTTGGTAAATGAGAATGAAGAATTAAAAAAAGTAAATTTGATTGTAACTTTAGAAAAAACTGAACTGAAAAAAGAAATTGATAAGGTGTGTATTTCATTTAATTTTTACTTGTTTAATGAAGGTTTAATGAAACTTTTCTGTTTGTGTTTGATGTTTAGTTAATATACTCTTTTTTGTATATTATACCAAAATGTTATGTCATACAATTGTCAAACATGTTATAGCTTAAAAACTTGTAAATCTGTTTTTTTTTTCACTTATATTGTGTCCAGTTATATTTATCTTCACCATATTTGTTTATTTATAATAATTTTACTCTAGGGATTAAAAACATGATCCAAATTTCCGTATGTTTCTTTATTTAGGTTCCAAAAAATTCTTCTTCAGATTCCAAATTTAAACCTTTGTGGTGTGGTAGTATAGCTTTATTTTTATATTATGGCTGATTTACACAGGGACAGTAACTGGCACCAAATTCGAAGCAAGTTACTGCTGACCCACTACTGGCATAATGTAAATTGATTTGAAGTCAGTGTGATGGTGCAAGTCAGTCGTCGGCGCCAGCGATGGTGCCTGTTACTGTTCCCGTGTAAATCAGCCTTATATATGAAACTTACTACTGTATGTCTTCTTTTACTGAAATATCATTTTAAGGCCATCACTCAATAAAATCAAGCAAGCTAGTAGTTTTTTACGGTTGTTTACAGTTCAAATAAAGGTGCCTTAAAATTCTCATTTAGGTTTCAGGTTTGATTCGGTTTGGTTCTATTATCAGAACTGATAAATACTGCTTCCTTATTGGGTTTTTGGGAATCCTTTCAATCCCTGCTTTACAATAAAAATAATGTTCCTTGTAGCATAGTATTATTTATAATGTATGATCATAAGCTATAACTGTATTGCAAATTTGCATTGTCTAATATGTATTTTATTTTGTATTACTGTCTACTGATGTTATTGTTATTATATTATTCTATGTTAAACTGGGTTTCATTTATGGTGATTCCATGTACAAATTTTAATAAAATACTATAATATTAATTGTAATGCATATTATATTTTGTTCTCAGTCGGATTTATTATATATCACTTAGTCACCAAAACAAATATTTAATGCATGTTATAAAAATTAATTTAAATCGTAAATCATGTTGGTTCATAGATTTGAGGTTCGTTATTTCAAAATCAGGTGATAAATTGTAAGAGATGAGTGTATAGTTCTAGGTTTCTTTATTACAGTATTATTTATTTTAATTTTAATTATTTAAACTTTCATGCACAAAGTTGTACATATGGCGGACTTAATTCCATAGGGCATTCTCTCCCAGTCAACCATTAGGCTAAACAGAGATAGACAAACAAGAGGCGGTGCAGCAGTAATCACAATAGAAAGGGCTAAGAAAATATAAAAAAAATATTGTATATACACGTAAATATACATATATACACACATGCATACACATATATACTTAAGTACACACAATATATAAATACACATATACATGCATACAGTACATATATACACAATACATATATGTCAGAACAAATATGAAATATACATAATTAAGTAATTGAAAATAAGAGCTGTGTTATTTCAAACTTGCAACGTTTTTTTCACATACTTACGGACTTAATTTTAAATAACTATTAAAAACTTAAAAAGTGATTTATGAGCGTTATTATATATTATATATTAATCCTTATGAACGAAAATGACTTCATCATGAAGACATTTTTTTGAAGATAAACTTTGCTCTTTATAGCGTGTGTTGCTGCAAAAATTAAAATAATCCAACACTCGGCTTGGCACGCAAACGACGCCTAGCTATAGCCACCCGATGAGAATTAAGAGAAACCAACAATGAACAAACTTTTTACGTGATAGAGCCATGCTGCAGCTATATTTTTTTTTTATAGGAGACGGGGCAAACGAGCATGCGGCTCACCTGATGGTAAGTGACTACCGCCGCCCATGAACAACTGCAACACCAGGGAAATCGCAGATGCGTTGCCGGCCTTTTAAAAAGGAGTACGCTCTTTTCTTGAAGGTCCCTAAGTCGTATCGGTCCGGAAAAATCGCTGATGGTAATCGATTCCACAAGGAAGTCGTGCGAGGAAGAAAACATCTTCTAAATCGCACAGTGGTGGACCGCCAATCATCCAGATGGTGTGGATGGTATCGGGAGTTCTGCCGCGATGTGCGTTCGTGAAATTTGGCGGCTGGGATTAATCCGAACAATTCCTCAGAGCACTCCCCATGGTAGATGCGAAAGAAAATGCAAAGGGATGCAACATCTCTTCGCAGTGCCAATGAATCGAGCCGATCGGAAAGGGCTCGGTCGTCGACGATTCGAGCAGCTCTGCGTTGGATGCGGTCAAGTGGAAGGAGCTGGCACTGGGGAGCCCCAGCCCAGAGATGGGAACAGTATTCCATGTGAGGCCGAACTTGCGCCTTGTAAAGTTGCAGACGGTGTGCCGGCATGAAATACTGTCCCGCTCTGCTGAGCACGCCAAGCTTTTTAGAGGCCAATTTGGCCTTCCCTTCCAAGTGACCACGAAACTGCACGTCACTCGATATGTCGACTCCGAGGATACCGATACTGGCTGAGGCAAGAAGGGGAGTGCCTAGAAACTGAGGACATGCGACAAAGGGGTTCTTTTTAGCGGTAAACGCGCAAACTTGTGTCTTCTGAGGATTAAACTGGACTAGATTTAGTCGCCCCCAATCCGAGACTTTGTTCAGCAAAGACTCGACTTCAGACACAAGTTTGTTCCGGTACTCAGCTATATTAGTAGTATAGTTGTAGCACGAATGGGTCGGCTCGACCGGGGAAGGACCACGCTCTCACAGAAAACCAGCGTAAAATAGCAGCTTAACGCTGCTGTGTTTCGTATGGTGAGTGTAGAGAACCGGAGACCCTTTTTACTGGAAAGAAGGCATTCCATCTTAGTCCTCACGGGTGACAACGCATCTGCATCTTGAGTCTTTATTGAGGATAGATGTAGATGTCTGGATGGGTCACAGTAACCACTTACCATCAGGTGGACTGTGTGCTCGTTTGTCACCCTACCCTATCCTAAAAAAAAATGAACACCATATATATATATATATATATATACAAGGCAGGGTGTCAAATTGCGCTGCTCAGATGCGTGATATACGCGGATAAAATCGCGGTGCACAGCTAGTTTTTTAATAAATTAGCTCTAATCAGAATCTTCCTCCTTATTCTAGTGTTTAACACAGAGCAACAACTTGCTCGATGCACACAATAAATAATAGATTAGGTGCATATTTATTTTAATATACAATATTAAAAACTATAATAATAAAGCAAAAAACTTAAACTACAAACTTAATTCTTGTTTTAGTTTTTTGCTATATGTATGATTACAGTCCTACTCCGCGCGGTATCGTGCCAAGAACGCTGGCTGCGTTTTCCCGCTGAATGGCTATACTTAGCCTTTGAGCGAGAAAAGAACCAGCCCTCTTATCACTTATTAGATTAAAGTGCATATTTACACTGTAGTAACACAACTAACTTAATGCGTGGTCATTAAAATTCGTTTTATTTAATTGTGGATTTTTTTCATTAATTTAAAAAGAACAACATAAATACTCACGCCTGTCATCCAGAGGGGTAAGCAGAGATTGTGGACTTCTGTTTAATACTGATATATGTACCTCTCGCTTATTTCACATCTATTCATAGGTCTTTACCTATGAAATTGCCGTTCTGCAGTACTGGCCATTTCAAATCAAAATAATTTTTGTTGATTAAGAATTCTAATTTCAAATTAATTTAATTTTAAAAACATAGGATTCGTTTTTCAAAATTATTCACTTGTTTATTGATTAGCGTTATGTTTTCATCACATTTGAATCTTTTTCGTCATCATGGATACGTTAAAAATTCCAGTAATTATGGAATATGAGTACCATCGTGGCAGCAACACGGCACAGGCAACACGCACATTAAAGACGTTTACGTAGCGAATGCTACAAACGAACGCACCACCTGTTATTGGTATGCTCGCTTTCGTTCTGGAAATTTTGACCTGAAAAATGAATCCCGTGGTCGTCCGAAAACTGGTCGACAATGTCCAATTAAAGGCGATTGTGGAAGCTGATGATACTCAATCTACGGCTGAATTAACAACAGCTTTCCACGTTAGCATCAAAACAATATTAGTCCATTTGCGTCCAATTGGCAAGGTAGATCAGCTTGATAAATGGGTGCCACACGGACTCAATGATCGCCAGCGCGCAGTAGTCGTCGAGACGTGCCTACACAAACGAAAGAGTTTTGAACCGCATTGTTACCTGCGACGGAAAATGGATTCTGTTTGACAATCGCAAGCGCTCAGCAAGTTTGTTGGATCGTGGTTCAGCACCTAAACAATGCCCTAAATGAAAACGTGCCCCTAGAAAAGTGATAGTCACCACTCGGTGGTCTAGCACCACACGGGAAGAGTATTACTGCAGATGTGTACTGTGAAGAACTGAACACAATGATTTTTGGTCAATCGCTCGTCCCCGTTGCTCCTACACGACAACGCACATTTCAATTCAATACCCGAGAGGCAGTACAAAAGCCTTTGAAGAATTTGTTGCCTCCCGTCCAGCTGCGTTGGCAAAGGTGCATCGATTGCAAGGGTGATTAGTGATTAATTTGACATGGGTGATTAGTGTTATAGAAAAGAAAATTACGTTAACTTATTTCATAAAAACGACAATTCCATAGGTAAAGACCTAATATAAACGACTGGATGGACTACTGTAGCGACTTACCATCAGATCACGGCGTAGTATCTTCTTAGTAGTCTGTGGATCACGGCCGATGCTTTGCAAATGTTAACGTTAACGTTACAGCACATTACAAGTCCACTGCTGAACATAGGCCTCCCCCATAGATTACCTTATAGGGGGGACATTTGGCATAGTTGTCACGCTTGGCGAGCGGGTTGGCAACCGCTGTTTTTGTAAATCAATCGACTCTGCATGATATAAAACTAAATTAATGATATTAGGACTTTTTTTATCTAAACTTTATAAACTTCTGTAATTCGAACCTGAAACACTATAATTAGGAAATAGTAACCTGTGCCAACAGACAAGTCCACAACCTAGCCCAAAATACTTTCTATTTAAAGATGGTAAACACTAATAAGCTATGATAAGCTTCTTAGTTTATTATAGCCAATAGTTATGTATCTTAGCGGTCAGCCACCACAGAGACTATTTCACCTAATGATGCCTCATTTAGAGGCGAAACACGTGTCGTATTATCGACGGTGGTGGCTTTCCTAGTGTTGTAGTGGTGATGGCATTAGTAGTGACGGGAATAGTGCACTCAATTGAGGGAGGTCTCTTTAAAGTAAGACATAATTTTATTTTATATAGGTAATATGCGGATCTTAGTTAATTAATTTTTAACATTTTTAATATAATGGATTTCCGCAAAGTAATGCATTTTGCAAAAATCAATAATTTGCATTTTGCACAGGATCCACAAATCACCAATTCTTACTGCACTAAGATTCTTAATCGTAAAATTTCGGTAGCAGTGGTAGATAAAGAAAATACATACATACTTACCGCAACCAAAACACATTTAAATGTGCAAGACACACACACAGTTATCACAGTCTTATTTCTCCTAACGATGCCTCGTTTTGAGGCGAAATACGTGTCATTTATCGATGGTAGTGTTTTTCCAAGTGTGATGTTATTGGGGGCAGTGGTGTTGGGCTTACTTTTGGTGCACACAATTGTGGTAAGAAAAGAAAGAAGCGCTCTTCAAAACAGGTAAGACACACCATTTTATTTTTCACACGAATTTTATGTAGCTGATTAACTTTCTCATCTTCGATACATATTACTGAAGAGTCTTTAATTAATTTCCTGGGTGTTGTAATAGGCATAAATACCAGAAAAATCTCGTCGCATCTAATAGATGGCGTTATAATCGTCTCGCGTTAGTCGTAAAATACCCAGACCAGACAGACAGGAAGCAACACAAAGTACTTTTTATAAACCGGAAGTCTGGTACTGTGGTCGTCAATACATCTGCCAAGTGTGTCTAATAAAAATCAAAACCTCCCTACCATACCAGTACAGTGTAGTAGGCCTGCAAATAAGGTCAGCCAAGAACTACGACTCTGAGAGTAATAATTGAACCAAGGCCAAGTTATAAGCTTTTAGACATCATACTATGATATCTGTGAACTTAATAATCTATGATGCCAATCAAGGAATCACGTCATTACATAAGATTTGATAGACCACAAATCCTCGGTAAAGAATATGGAGTATAGAGGTAAGGAGAACCATCTCATATGGGGGAAAAGTTGAAAAAATTGACTAATGTAGACTAAAACATGGTACTCACTTTTGGTTATTCAGTTTTTTAATAGGTTGTACCTTATCTTTTATGCTGAGGTAAAGTATCGTAATACAGCCTGAATAAGTCACACTGTTGGGCATAGTAGGTCTCTCATTTTAGTTTCTTAGGACGGCATTATACGACGAGCTTGCCCCAATGCGTGTTTTCGGACTTCACATGTCTTTTAATTGTACAAACATCCAGGTTCATAAAATATTTTTTTCAGCTAAGAGACGATAAGTTCTCCGACTACCTTATGTTAATGAGAGAGAGAGACGCCCGTTACACCTTGTACCACGAAAATTTAGCTCTGGAACTGAAGTGTAAGGAATTAGTTAACTCGTCCCAATGTCACCAATACAATGAAGAGCAAGGAGATCCTGTGATATTGCGAATTGCTCTTGACCGTTGTAGGTACGTTATTAACAGGGTAATGTTATGATAATGTCATCCAGATTAAATTGCGGTCACGGCAGCCAATCTTAACGAAGAATGTAGCCATCTGCGCAGTTCAGGATTATTGTATTAAAAGTGTATGCGCAACCACCGGTTCACTCTTTACTCCCTCAATCTCATAGCCTGATGAAACGGCAAAGAGATCGGAGACGGTAAAATACATCCAGCTTCCTAACTCCGGAATGTTCCTGAGAATTTCTAAAACCCAGTATTTGATTTGGTACAACGAGGTAATCACATGGTCAAGTACTGTATATGTTACGACGGAAATCCGAAGTGTGGATACACCTACGTTAAAATTAGAAACATTAGGTACACAAGCACATGCCTCTCAAATCTGAAAGGAAATATACGCCGTGCTGCTTCAATGCGTGTTGGCGAACTTCACATACCTTCGAAATATATTTTTTAAGCAGGTTTTCTAACGATGTTTACCTTCGCCGAGCACGTGGTAAATTAACATTTAAAATTGCAACCAACCATTTCATTGGTGCCAACAGGGATTGAACCTGGGTTTGCTCGCGTTCTTTAAAATTTACACCTAGGCTTAGCCAGCTATAACTAATTGCAGCGAATTGCGGTAGTTAAACATAGGTGCATCCTAAATATATAGTTTATTAATTAAATAAATCCCCGCAGCTATGTCGCACCTTAATCTACTGTCGCTGATATTTCTGCAAACATGCATACATGTCTTTGTCAAATTTAGCAGTACCTACACCTAAGTTAAGTCCACGCCAATCTGCTGCACCTAGTTTTAGCTGCCAAAACCTACGTGTATTCATAGTTAGGTATTTATTCATAACATTCATATTAAAACTTTAAGACAGATTACGTGGTAGAGCCACGCTGCAACTATATCCTGGTTGTAACACGAATGGGTCAGCTAGACCGGGGTAAGATCACGTTTTCACAGAATACGAGCGTAAAATGGCAGCTGAATGGCGTTGTGTTTTGTATGGTGAGTGTAGAGAACCGTAGACCCTTTTAACTGAAAAAGAGGCATTCCATCTTAATCCTCAGGGGTGACAACGCATCTGCATTTTCATTACATTTTACCACCAGCAGGGCTAGCATGGGTAAGGGAGAAAAAATTTATCCCCCGATTATATCCACTGACAAGAGATTAAATTGTCTTGTCCCTATGCCAAAGCACGGCAACGGGGAGAAGTATATCCCTGTTTGACATAACGAGTAGACATATATCCCGCGTCCGTAGCATGGAGCCAAATGAAAGATAAAAAATTATGCTTTTTTGACATTTGAAAGGGACAATTCTATCCTAGTTCATTGGACGTGGATTTAAGTTTATATTCATACAAAAAATCTATCTAAGTTTAAGTCTATTTCCCATTTTATCTACTGTGAATATTATATCCACCGGTGTGCCCATGCTCGAAGGGTGGATAAAACTAAGGAGGGGTAAACATTTTCTCCTTTCCCCGGGTCAACATTGTCTCCTGCTCATGCTATCCCTGCAGGTGGACTGTGTGCTGGCTTGCTACTCTTATTTTATATAAAAAGTATACATTTTTATTAAGTAACTAGCTACCTGCCCCGGCTTCGCCTGGATAGGATCTGTTAATGTGGAATTCTTTAGATTTAAGATAGTCAAAGACCATTTATTACCCGACTGGCTCAGAAAGAGGGTAATGCATTTCGAGAGTGTGTATGTATGTCTATTTCTTTGGCGCGCTCTGTAGCCTAAACGGCTTGATGAATTTTAACATATGGATGTTATTAAAATCACCTTAGTTGTGAAAGTGACATAAGTAGAAAAATTTTCTATTTTCAGTAAACTATTTTACGCAATCGAGTTTTTTTCAATACTGTTTTGATCTTTAAACTTGTTTTATCAATTTTTCGTTATACACTGACATTGCTCTCTACCGGCTCGTAAATTTTCATGACAATTGATTCAGCCATTCCGAAGATTAGCCCGGACAGACAGACAGACAATTTGTTAAAAAGGTTGTTAATGTCTTCATCGTCATCATCATTACAGCCATTAACAAGTCCACTGCTGAACATAGGCCTCCCCCAAGTTATGCCACAAAGCACGGTCCTGAGCCAACTGCATCCATTGACTTCCTGCATGTCTTACCAGTTCGCTACTCCATTTAGTGGGGGTACGCCCTACACTTCGTCCGCCGGTACGAGGCCGCCACTCGAGACCGGTTTTTCCCCATCGGTTGCCGGTTCTTCTAGCAATATGGCCGGCCCACTGCCACTTCAGCTTACTAATCCGTTACTTACTTACTTACTTACTTATCTTCACGCACAATCCCTGACGGGGTAGCCAGAGAGAACAGATCGCCAAGTGTCACGATCCTTACATACCTCTTTCGCTTCTTTTAGATTCATTATCTTCTTCATACATGCACGTCTAGGTATCCGAGTACTCTTGACCCTACCCTCTTCGAGCAATTTGCTCACATGGTCTTCGAAAGTTAGTCTCGGTCTACCTCGACACCTTTTAATATTAAATTTCGCGCTATATATTTTCTTCACCATTCGGTCTTCACTCATTCGCTCAACGTGCCCAAACCACCGAAGCACGCCCTTATCAATTTTTGTGATAAGGTCATCTTTTAAACCTGCCATATTGCGAATCTCTTCGTTTCGCTTTCGGTCGGCCATGGTAACGCCGCACATTTTACGAAGAGATCGCATCTCCACTGCATTCAACTTGCTTTTATGCTTCTTCTGGCATACCCAGGTTTCGCTGCCATATAACAAAGTCGGTACCAACACTGCGTTATGTATTGCAAGGCGTGCACTCTTCACTACGCCTTGCCTTTTGACTAACGCAGTCAGGGCACCATTAACTTTGTTTCCGGCAGCGACACGCCTGTCCACATCTAAATCACATCTTCCATCCCGGCTAAAAGCACTCCCCAAGTATACAATTTCATTTACTTGTTCTAGACATTCCTGATTTACCCATATTTCACACTTCGTTCTCTCTTCGTCCCTTTCAAATAAATTTAAATTTTCCGTTAATATCTTAATATCATGCAAATAATCTTTTTTTTTTAATATGTGAAAATAATAATGGGAGCAAGGCGGCCAGACTCCGTTTCCGTGTCCTTTACAAATTCTCGCATTATAAAAAATGTTTCAGTTTTTTTTCCATTTATAAATACACAATGCCACAAACCATAAAAATATAAAATCATCGACCCATCATAGTTCATGACCTTATTTCTCACAATATCCAGAGAACAACTGTCAGCGACACAGAGCAAGCTGAAGAAAATGATCGATGATTATTCTGACACTGTCCCGCGACGGGAGTACGATGTCTTGGAGAACAAGCACCTCGAACTCAACAAGAAACTTGACACTCTCAAAACAGAGTACGAGGCGCTAGATAATTGTTACAGGCGTGTCGTAGGTGGGTTATTGTATTTCCGTCATATTATACCATGTACGAGGGCGATACTAAAAGTTTTTAGAACTGGCCACTTGTAAACGATATAATAAAAAAATAAGTTCAAATTTTCAAAATGGAACTCTTTGCCAATATTATTATGTAAAAAAATAAAATTTTTGTAAATTTTAAACGGCAAATTGAAAATTGTGTGTGTCACGTCAGCATGAATTTTACGCGAGAAAATTTTCGATGTCATTTAAGTCAACAAGAAAGTTATGATAGACTTCGATTGGCCTTTCACGATGAAGCCCCATCTCGTGCCACTGTTTACAGCTGGTTAATGAGTTTAAACGTGGTCGCACTAATCTCACCGATGATCTGCGTGAGGGACGGCCGTCAACAGCGACGACTGAAGAATAACATCAGTGTTGTGCGCCGTACTGACATAAGAGTGATTCGGACAAGCTTAGGCATCGGTATGAGTCAAGTGTACAAAATCCTCCATGAAAATTTAGCGGTCAGGAAGTTTTGTGCCCGGTGGATACCTCATAATTTGACAGAGGCCCAAAAACTCCGACGTGTTGATTGGTGTGAAATGGTTCAAAGATTTAACGGAGTTGACTCAAATGCTGTGTTCGACATACTTACGGGTGATAAAATCTGGATTTATTGTTATGATCCTGAAACTAAGAGACAGTCTGCTGTCTAGGTGTTTCCTTCCGAGGAGTTGCCAACTAAAGTGAAGTGAGGTCGAAGCGTGGGAAAAAAGATGATGGCCTCGTTCTTCGGAAGGACAGGTCATTACGCAACAATTGTTTTAGAGGGTCGGAAAACATTTACTGCAGAGTGGTACACTAACAATTGTTTGCCACTTGTCATGGAAAAAGTTAGAGAAACGACCTCACAGTAGGATCCTCCTTCACAACGACAACGCCTTGTCGCACACCGCCAAGTAAACAATCGACTACTTGGCGACGTTAGACGTGTAATTATTGGGTTACCCGCCCTATAGCCCCGACTTCACACCGTGCGATTTTTATTTATTTCTGAAAATAAGAGAAAAACTTCGAGGAAAACGCTTTATGGACGCCGGAAAGCAGTTGCTGCGTTTCAAAATGTCAACGAAGAGATCCCTAAGGACGAGTGAGCAAAGTGCTTTTCTCAGTGATTCCATCGGATACAACGATGTATTGATGTAAATGGAAACTATTTTGAAAAGATATTATAACTAAAAAATAAATAAAATTAATAACTTGTTAGTTTGTTAGGTTTTTGATTTTCTAAGAACTTCCAGTGTCACCCTAGTAACAAAGATTTCTATGTATGCTACTAAACGGGCACTACGGTACTAATAAATTGCGCACTGTGTTACGGTCAATTCTCCGCAACATCTTTAGTCAACTACGAGTGGGCGAGGAGGCTAGTTCTTTGTTTTGTTAACCGCGACCGTTGTTTTCGACAATCTAATTAAACTGTGATGTGATTAAGAAAACACTGTCATTATTTATGTGCGCACTTTGTCCACGTGATATGAAGTTTATTTCAGATAAGTATGTAACTTTATTTCGTATTTGCCAAAAAACAGTAACAGTTGTAAATAAAAATAAAACTGCGTGTCATATTTAGGTACCGTGCAAGCTACTCGCTCGCGCGATCCATAGCTTATTCTGAATTGCCGGTCTTGTAGAAATACATAGAAAGGTATTTGCCGTGTAATGGCGGCAAATGAAAACTTATTACTCCATTTCGTTCCATGGGTGTCGTAAGAAGCGAGATATTAGATCTTCCGCACAAGCTCAGGTTTTCGATAGGTGGCGGTGAAACCATCTAGTTTACGCCAAACCTAAAATATATCAGACATGCTGTGGACGAAAATCTGTTTGCCTAGCGTGACCTTTTTTTGCAAAATACCCCTACAACTGGAGGTGGCCATATCCAGCTGTAGACTTTTTGCTTGATGAAGTGGACAAGATCATCATCATCATTACAGCTCATTACAAGTTTACTGCTGAACGAAAGCCTCCCCCAAGCAACGTCATATAGCACGGCCTTGAGCCATCTGTATCCATCGACTTCTCTTACCTCCTACCGAGAATCTTTCGTTCTCTAATAAGAAGGCAAGATAGTTACTTCAAATCCGTTAAGGTTGTGGACATTTAACAATTGACGATAATAATTGCAGCGCAAAAGAAAAATTTACAAGGAGAATTGTCCGAGATTAAGGAGAGATGCCGGGAGTTGGAGCGGGCCGGCACTCCGCGGCCGCAATGGGAAATATGCGCTGACTTCATTGCTGGAGGACGGGATAGGTAAAAATAAAGAAAAGTTACAGTATATAACAGTGGTTCTTAACGTTTTATGGGTGAAGGACCATTTGGACCACCAACTTTTACAAATACTATAGAATATGGTAAAGTTGATTTTTAAGTTTGTTCTTCAAATAAAACACATACGAGTATAAAACTTAATAATAATAATTATTATACTTAATAATGATGCGGTATTATGGTATTACAAACGGAGTCCTTGTGTTATACCTTGTATTTTAAACCTTCGATTCGTTTCACCGACCATCACCTCAAAAAAGTTTTCTAACAACTTTTTTATATTATATGAGAAAATTATATGATGCCTTCGAGACCCACTTTGGATGCCACCGTGGTCCACGGACCACCGGTTAGGAAACACTGGTCTATACACTATACATCCCACTACTGGCCACAGGCCTCTCGTCATTTCTAAAAAAGTTTTAAGGCACTGAATTTCCGCCGCGCTGCCTCGATGCCTGACTGAAATGGACTTCAAATGTCTTAGAGGGCTTCTTATAGCATCAAGACTCTTGAACATTACCGACCGCTGTTACCGACGCATGCACGGCGCACCGATAAGCGCACTTAAGAGCGCGCGCGCGAGATTCAAATTACTTTTCGAACATATTTTTTTGGTTTTATTCTGGAATATAATTTAATATTTTTCGAATGTACGAGAGTATTATTTTTGCTGTCGGCGGGCCACCAGTATTCGACCGGCGGGCCGCGGTCTGTGCATCTACGATCAAGAGGGTCTCTCGATCTACGATCTATGATTTAAAACCCAAATGGTCGCTCAAACGAAAATTTAAGGAAATTAATATATTAACTTTGGCCTGTCAATACATTTATGAAAATGTAATGGAAGTACACAAAAACAAAAGTGAACCCGCTTAAAGTTCAAAAACTTTATTAGGCTCGCCACATACATACGGAATTCTGTTTCCAGATTTTCGATATTCCGATTCGAGATTCCGAACGCAGCCAGTTCATATAAAATATATGACCCGTCACATACGTGCGGTAGTTTTCCGTTCGTTTGCGGGCAAAACTGGATTCTGTATGTGTGTGGCCGACCCGTTCGGAATTCCCTTTCGGAATTCCGTATTTATGTGGCGGGCCTTGATCATTAAACAAAATTTATATAAAAAGGGTTATTATAATATTAAAAAATTTATGGATGATAATGACCCGTGGGAATGAGGTGATCGCTACAAAGCTATTTCTAATTTATTTTGTTTTGTTAATTGTGTAACATATATGAACATAATCGTAAGCCGATATTTTTTGAAAAAAAAAGTACCTCTGGGTTTCTTGCTGGTTCTTAGGCCGGAGGATTTTTTCTGAACCAATGGTAATTAAACAAAAGAGTGACATTCAATAAGTATTATTTATAATTTATATTGAATAAAAACAGTTTCTGTTTCTGTTTCGGAAAATTAAATGAAATTTAAATTTCTCAATCATGCAGATTTCCTCGCAATATTCTCCTTCACCATCGAATACGTGATTAAAGTTGCAATTAACAGTTTCATTGATGCCGGGGAGGATCGAACCCGATAACAGAAATCGTAGCAGTCTTAATATTTTTTTAAACACTTCTCATATACGTTTGAAATTGCAGATGGTGGCAGTTAGCTCAAGGCCTGTCCTCGAGGGACATTTTAATGGTGCTGCTAAAAGAACTCGGTCCCGCAGCTGAGACGGAGCACTTGGAGTACTTCGATGGACTCGTAACTCTATTTTTTATTCAAAATTTTTCATACATATTTTATACTCGATTTGTACCATTAAACCAATAATGGTTGGTGTCCATATTGTTTTGATATTTATTTATTTATCAATGAAATATAAGGATCTAGGCGGGCACCTTATTAGTTCAAGTTTATAATTAGCTCTGCGATCATAATTTAGTATCATATCATCAGCAGATTGTATTAGTTGTCATTAACAAAAGGCTTACTGTTTAGTAACGGTGTAAGAATATCCACTACCCCATATCATCCCCTGGATGTCGTAAGAGGCGACAGAGGGAAACAAATCGCGAGATGGATTTACTTAGAATAAAAAAACTGCGGTTGCCAACCCGCTTGCCAAGCGTGGCAACTATGGCAATATTCCCCCTATGAGGCAGGCCTATGTTTAGCAGAGGTAGGCTGATTTTAACGATAATGGTAACGATATACAAATGGCATCATCTGTTTCCAATCGCTCCTAATAAAAAAAATCCTTGACTACATAATCATTGAATACTTTTCAACTGTTGCCGAGTCATTACTCATACAGAATGTTAATAGATGTACTTATTAAAAGAACTTAGATTAAAAAGTGTTATCTCAAGATATTGTAAAATATTTGAAAACCCTCGATGTCAATAAAATCGCAGGTTATGGGGATTTTCGTGACAGTTATTTTGTCCATAATAGATTTAATTGCACCACATCTTGCTATTATTTTTGATGTTCGGATTAGTGGTGACGGGGATAGTGCACGTAATTGAAAGAGTGCGGGAGGTGCTCTTCAAACTAAGTAAGACATGTCATTTTATTTTATTACTTTAGCTAATTAATTTTAACATATTTTATTACCTTAATGATCAACCTGGCCAGGGCACGGACCCCGCGATCCCCCCGTACCTCCGCTATGAGGGCAAGGTGCGCAACTTGCGGCTATCCCGGCGCGAGCTCAGCATCGTAATCAACGACATCTGGAACAGCAAGCTCGAGAACGGTCGCCACGTGCCCATGCAGGACTACGTCACCCAGTACTTTGAGGAGAGGTGACGTATTGCGACGCATTGCCGCCAAATATAAACGAATATAATAGGATTATTGTTTTAATTTCTTTTAAAAGCCACTTGTAGGATTTATTCTCGTTAAACCACTCGCGTAAGACAGGCAGGTTATGTTGGACTTCTATCGACTAAGCAATACTCCTGGTAGACCTTATTTTTGTACTGTATGTTTTTTTAAGTGTGTTGCCTCATAAATTTTTCTGGGTGAATCGATTTCGATAATGTTTTTTTTATTGGAAAGCTGGTGCTTCTCATGTGGTCCCATATAAGTTTGATCAATGTGTGACCAATACCAGGTTTTTGAGTTATTCTTAATAATTTATATTGAAGTTGGTTTTACAAAATTTTTAATTTTAATTTATTTTACTTGTTTCACCATACTGTACATACGTTAGAACGTTTTGTGCATTTTTATGTCGTGGAGCTACTGCAGCACAAATGGGTCGGCTTGACCGGGGTAGGACCATGCTCTCACAGAATACTGCTATATTACTGGTTTGTAAAAGGAAATTTCGGTGCCCTATATCCATTATCAAAACCACCTTTACGCAACGACATTACAATTTCATAGCACCATACATTTATAATAAAATTCCCACCTAGAATATTCTTATCCTTATAACACTAAGCAACAATAGATTTAAAAAATATGTATTTACTGAAATGTCTGCTAAATCGTAATTATGTCTAAACTAAAAATTTTACAATATTAAAATAAAATACAATCATTATAACACTGTTAAACACACACACAAACATATACACTACACTACTAAACAATACATTAAACATTAAGTAGCAGTAACCGCCATAAAATACTATTAATTAAGGAATAATGAATTATCTTACCCTAACTAACTAACCCTAACCCCCACTAGATGGAGTGGCGACCTGGTAAGAAGTCAAATTGTTGGAAGTCGATGGATGCAGGTGGCTCGGCACCGTTCTTTGTGGCATTCCATGGAGGAGGCCCATGTTCAGCAGTGGACTTTGCTGTAATGATGACAATGATGATAATGAATCATCTTACTTTCTTACTCAATATACGAGCAGACTTAGAACTAAGAATTAGGAAAGGCACTGTTTCCTGAGATATAGGTAATAACCTTGTTCAGGAAACACAGCTCTGTATTTAGAAATATTTGGTTGCTAATAAACGTTATTTTATTATTATTTATTTATCTGTGATCGACTACTGTAAAAATGTTTCTAAATGTTCGTAGCGTTCTGTAACTGTATACGTTTTGCAAAGGCGTTGTGCGCAGGTACGCGGCAGCGGGCGTGCGCGCGGAGTGGGCGTACAACGTGTGCGCGGGCGCGCGGAACGCGCTCGACGAGCCGCAGCTGCGGTTGTTCTGCGGCACGCTGCTGGCCGCGCTCAGCGAGGACGTGTACTGGGCGCACAGGGACGCGTACCACGCGCTCAAGGCGGAACTCTACAGGCACGCACGGGACGGAGAGGTACGTAGAGTTACAGTTAGTGAGACGAGCCGCAGCTGCGGTTGTTCTGCGGCACGCTGCTGGCCGCGCTCAGCGAGGACGTGTACTGGGCGCACAGGGACGCGTACCACGCGCTCAAGGCGGAACTCTACAGGCACGCACGGGACGGAGAGGTACGTAGAGTTACAGTTAGTGAGACGAGCCGCAGCTGCGGTTGTTCTGCGGCACGCTGCTGGCCGCGCTCAGCGAGGACGTGTACTGGGCGCACAGGGACGCGTACCACGCGCTCAAGGCGGAACTCTACAGGCACGCACGGGACGGAGAGGTACGTAGAGTTACAGTTAGTGAGACGAGCCGCAGCTGCGGTTGTTCTGCGGCACGCTGCTGGCCGCGCTCAGCGAGGACGTGTACTGGGCGCACAGGGACGCGTACCACGCGCTCAAGGCGGAACTCTACAGGCACGCACGGGACGGAGAGGTACGTAGAGTTACAGTTAGTGAGACGAGCCGCAGCTGCGGTTGTTCTGCGGCACGCTGCTGGCCGCGCTCAGCGAGGACGTGTACTGGGCGCACAGGGACGCGTACCACGCGCTCAAGGCGGAACTCTACAGGCACGCACGGGACGGAGAGGTACGTAGAGTTACAGTTAGTGAGACGAGCCGCAGCTGCGGTTGTTCTGCGGCACGCTGCTGGCCGCGCTCAGCGAGGACGTGTACTGGGCGCACAGGGACGCGTACCACGCGCTCAAGGCGGAACTCTACAGGCACGCACGGGACGGAGAGGTACGTAGAGTTACAGTTAGTGAGACGAGCCGCAGCTGCGGTTGTTCTGCGGCACGCTGCTGGCCGCGCTCAGCGAGGACGTGTACTGGGCGCACAGGGACGCGTACCACGCGCTCAAGGCGGAACTCTACAGGCACGCACGGGACGGAGAGGTACGTAGAGTTACAGTTAGTGAGACGAGCCGCAGCTGCGGTTGTTCTGCGGCACGCTGCTGGCCGCGCTCAGCGAGGACGTGTACTGGGCGCACAGGGACGCGTACCACGCGCTCAAGGCGGAACTCTACAGGCACGCACGGGACGGAGAGGTACGTAGAGTTACAGTTAGTGAGACGAGCCGCAGCTGCGGTTGTTCTGCGGCACGCTGCTGGCCGCGCTCAGCGAGGACGTGTACTGGGCGCACAGGGACGCGTACCACGCGCTCAAGGCGGAACTCTACAGGCACGCACGGGACGGAGAGGTACGTAGAGTTACAGTTAGTGAGACGAGCCGCAGCTGCGGTTGTTCTGCGGCACGCTGCTGGCCGCGCTCAGCGAGGACGTGTACTGGGCGCACAGGGACGCGTACCACGCGCTCAAGGCGGAACTCTACAGGCACGCACGGGACGGAGAGGTACGTAGAGTTACAGTTAGTGAGACGAGCCGCAGCTGCGGTTGTTCTGCGGCACGCTGCTGGCCGCGCTCAGCGAGGACGTGTACTGGGCGCACAGGGACGCGTACCACGCGCTCAAGGCGGAACTCTACAGGCACGCACGGGACGGAGAGGTACGTAGAGTTACAGTTAGTGAGACGAGCCGCAGCTGCGGTTGTTCTGCGGCACGCTGCTGGCCGCGCTCAGCGAGGACGTGTACTGGGCGCACAGGGACGCGTACCACGCGCTCAAGGCGGAACTCTACAGGCACGCACGGGACGGAGAGGTACGTAGAGTTACAGTTAGTGAGACGAGCCGCAGCTGCGGTTGTTCTGCGGCACGCTGCTGGCCGCGCTCAGCGAGGACGTGTACTGGGCGCACAGGGACGCGTACCACGCGCTCAAGGCGGAACTCTACAGGCACGCACGGGACGGAGAGGTACGTAGAGTTACAGTTAGTGAGACGAGCCGCAGCTGCGGTTGTTCTGCGGCACGCTGCTGGCCGCACTCAGCGAGGACGTGTACTGGGCGCACAGGGACGCGTACCACGCGCTCAAGGCGGAACTCTACAGGCACGCACGGGACGGAGAGGTACGTAGAGTTACAGTTAGTGAGACGAGCCGCAGCTGCGGTTGTTCTGCGGCACGCTGCTGGCCGCGCTCAGCGAGGACGTGTACTGGGCGCACAGGGACGCGTACCACGCGCTCAAGGCGGAACTCTACAGGCACGCACGGGACGGAGAGGTACGTAGAGTTACAGTTAGTGAGACGAGCCGCAGCTGCGGTTGTTCTGCGGCACGCTGCTGGCCGCACTCAGCGAGGACGTGTACTGGGCGCACAGGGACGCGTACCACGCGCTCAAGGCGGAACTCTACAGGCACGCACGGGACGGAGAGGTACGTAGAGTTACAGTTAGTGAGACGAGCCGCAGCTGCGGTTGTTCTGCGGCACGCTGCTGGGCGCACTCAGCGAGGACGTGTACTGGGCGCACAGGGACGCGTACCACGCGCTCAAGGCGGAACTCTACAGGCACGCACGGGACGGAGAGGTACGTAGAGTTACAGTTAGTGAGACGAGCCGCAGCTGCGGTTGTTCTGCGGCACGCTGCTGGGCGCACTCAGCGAGGACGTGTACTGGGCGCACAGGGACGCGTACCACGCGCTCAAGGCGGAACTCTACAGGCACGCACGGGACGGAGAGGTACGTAGAGTTACAGTTAGTGAGACGAGCCGCAGCTGCGGTTGTTCTGCGGCACGCTGCTGGGCGCACTCAGCGAGGACGTGTACTGGGCGCACAGGGACGCGTACCACGCGCTCAAGGCGGAACTCTACAGGCACGCACGGGACGGAGAGGTACGTAGAGTTACAGTTAGTGAGACGAGCCGCAGCTGCGGTTGTTCTGCGGCACGCTGCTGGCCGCGCTCAGCGAGGACGTGTACTGGGCGCACAGGGACGCGTACCACGCGCTCAAGGCGGAACTCTACAGGCACGCACGGGACGGAGAGGTACGTAGAGTTACAGTTAGTGAGACGAGCCGCAGCTGCGGTTGTTCTGCGGCACGCTGCTGGGCGCACTCAGCGAGGACGTGTACTGGGCGCACAGGGACGCGTACCACGCGCTCAAGGCGGAACTCTACAGGCACGCACGGGACGGAGAGGTACGTAGAGTTACAGTTAGTGAGACGAGCCGCAGCTGCGGTTGTTCTGCGGCACGCTGCTGGCCGCGCTCAGCGAGGACGTGTACTGGGCGCACAGGGACGCGTACCACGCGCTCAAGGCGGAACTCTACAGGCACGCACGGGACGGAGAGGTACGTAGAGTTACAGTTAGTGAGACGAGCCGCAGCTGCGGTTGTTCTGCGGCACGCTGCTGGGCGCACTCAGCGAGGACGTGTACTGGGCGCACAGGGACGCGTACCACGCGCTCAAGGCGGAACTCTACAGGCACGCACGGGACGGAGAGGTACGTAGAGTTACAGTTAGTGAGACGAGCCGCAGCTGCGGTTGTTCTGCGGCACGCTGCTGGCCGCGCTCAGCGAGGACGTGTACTGGGCGCACAGGGACGCGTACCACGCGCTCAAGGCGGAACTCTACAGGCACGCACGGGACGGAGAGGTACGTAGAGTTACAGTTAGTGAGACGAGCCGCAGCTGCGGTTGTTCTGCGGCACGCTGCTGGCCGCGCTCAGCGAGGACGTGTACTGGGCGCACAGGGACGCGTACCACGCGCTCAAGGCGGAACTCTACAGGCACGCACGGGACGGAGAGGTACGTAGAGTTACAGTTAGTGAGACGAGCCGCAGCTGCGGTTGTTCTGCGGCACGCTGCTGGCCGCGCTCAGCGAGGACGTGTACTGGGCGCACAGGGACGCGTACCACGCGCTCAAGGCGGAACTCTACAGGCACGCACGGGACGGAGAGGTACGTAGAGTTACAGTTAGTGAGACGAGCCGCAGCTGCGGTTGTTCTGCGGCACGCTGCTGGCCGCGCTCAGCGAGGACGTGTACTGGGCGCACAGGGACGCGTACCACGCGCTCAAGGCGGAACTCTACAGGCACGCACGGGACGGAGAGGTACGTAGAGTTACAGTTAGTGAGACGAGCCGCAGCTGCGGTTGTTCTGCGGCACGCTGCTGGGCGCACTCAGCGAGGACGTGTACTGGGCGCACAGGGACGCGTACCACGCGCTCAAGGCGGAACTCTACAGGCACGCACGGGACGGAGAGGTACGTAGAGTTACAGTTAGTGAGACGAGCCGCAGCTGCGGTTGTTCTGCGGCACGCTGCTGGGCGCACTCAGCGAGGACGTGTACTGGGCGCACAGGGACGCGTACCACGCGCTCAAGGCGGAACTCTACAGGCACGCACGGGACGGAGAGGTACGTAGAGTTACAGTTAGTGAGACGAGCCGCAGCTGCGGTTGTTCTGCGGCACGCTGCTGGCCGCACTCAGCGAGGACGTCTACTAAAATACAGTCAAATGGAGTACTTCTCCTTTTTTTGAAGTTTGTTGATAAATTAAACTGATCTTTTCAAATGTCGTTAGCATAATGTGTTATGTATTAACACACTATAGAGCCAATTTGATGATTTCAATATGACCAATCAAGCTTTTACACGAAAAGTATACAACCAAGAAGCCTTCAGCGTTCTCCATTTCCTTTATATCTTTTACGGCTATCAATAGGGTACATGAAAATCAAGAATGGAGATTGTTTAAACATAGCTAATATATTAATATAATAGAAAGATCGTTTACTAGCCGGTGCTGATAAATTTATACGATACAACAATCTCAAACCTCAAAACGATTCTAACCACGATTTCTCCTAGTTACATAATGGCACCGCAGATTCTAATATTTGCGGAGATTTAGTTGAACATATTTAGTAGATGGTTTTTCGCGATCAAGCGGTCACTAGTCTGTCTAGTCTGTCGCACAAAGATGCAGCAAGATTTACATTAGTACAATGCCATCAATATTGGAATAGGAACGAACTTGTTTCACATTGGACGTTGAAGCTGTCAATTCAAACCAGTTAAGTAGGGTGAGCAAAACATATGTTTTTAAAATCATATTTATTTACAAAAAAAACATGAATGAAAATCTTTCAATCTGAAGTTATCATTTCAATTCTACTCATTTCTGCGTCACTGTCTGAGTAGTCATCAACGTCATTATCATCATCACTCCTCCTTTCACCTATAAAAATAGAACATGGATTTATGTAGGTATTTAAAATATTCCACAGACTGTTTAACAAAACTGAACTTATCATGAAGACTCAGTTAAATTAAATAGAAAAAAAAATCTTATTAATACGCAATTTAATTTTATTTGCAAGCCGCACTTTTCAAATGACACTTGAGAGATCAAGGTCATTGACGTTCCCATTCTTAGTTGAATCGCATTGTAACACCCTAAAGTTACACAAACATGTTAATTATGTTGGGTGTATAGTCTTTAATGTAGAACTATTTTATCACAGACCCTCACATTGGAAGAGTTTGAGAAAGTAGCAAAATCATCTTTCCCCTTGAAGAGTGAAGTGGACATAAAGAATCTGAGTGATGTGGTGCGCAAGCAGCTCAAGATGAAGATCAACTACAACGTTGTGAACTTGGACAATCTGTTTCTAGAGGTACTTGCCTATCGACTTCGCAGTTTATGTTACTTCGAAGATGTAATTTTTATAAAATTATGGTGACAAACGAGCACACAGTCAACCTGATGGTGAGTGGATGCTGTGACCTATAAACATCTACATCTATCCTCGATTAAGAATCTAAATTCAGATGCGTTGTCCTATGAGTTTCCAGTGAAAAGACTCTCCGGTTCTCTACACTTAACATACGAAACACAGCACCATCATTAGTCGTCTTCACAAAAAGATTTACAATTATTGGAGTGTATCATACGCGATATCTTCATCAATTGTGAACCCATTTTGATTTATTGTTTCTTATCAGATAGTTGATACTTCAGAGGTATCCTTAATTAGGATTCCTAAGGTATGCTAATAATAATTTAATTTATTTAGAATAAGAAAAATAAGAATTATTTAACTCATGCAGTATCTATTGGTGGTACTACGATGAAGAGCAGGAGATACTGTGATATTGCGAATTGCTCTTGACAGTTGTAGGTATGTTATTTACAATATTATGTAATAATAAATGTCCTCCAGCACGGCTAGCATGGACTGGGAACAAAAAATTTATCCCCCGATTATATCCAATGACAAGAGATTAAATTATCTTGTCCCTATGCCAAAGCACGGCAACGGGCAGAAGTATATCCCTGTTTGACATAACGAGTAGACATATATCGTATTAGCATGGAGCCAAATGAAAGATGAATAATTATGCTTTTTTGACATTTGAAAGGGACAATTCTATCCTAGTTCATTGGACGTGGATTTAAGTTTATATTCATACAAAAAATCTATCTAAGTCTATTTCCCATTTTATCTACTGTGAATATTATATCCACCGGTGTGCCCATGCTCGAAGGGTGGATAAAACTAATCGAGGGGATAAACATTTTAACCTTTCCCCGGTCAAAATATTTTATTTTCCCCGATTAAAATTGTCTCCTACCCATGCTAGCCCTGCAAACGTATTGCGGTCGTGACGGCCAGTCTCAACGGAGACTATCCATTCGCACAGGACGGATTATCTCGGGGGCCTACCCGGGATTCGAACCCGCGATCTCATGATCTACAGTCTCGTTTATGACCACTAGGCCAACGAGGCAAAATAGGGGACTTTTAAAACAATATGTTGTCTATCACCACTTACCACCAGGTGGGATTGTATTGGGCTCTATTTGAAAATCAGCGTTGCTGTCATTTAGTACAGCAGCAGTTAGATGAAATAGGGACAAAATTTGACTTCACACGAATTCTCTGGTAATTGCATGATGACGAAAAAGCTTCTCTGGTTCTACTGCGGATATCCTCATATCTAAGTTTATCACGCAGAGAAACTCCGAGCATAGCCCTCTCCATAGCTCGCTGAGCGACCTTGAGCTTCCTCATCCGGCCACCAGTGAAGGACCACGTCTTAGTTCCATAGGTCATCACTGGCAACACGCACTGGTTGTACAGTTTCGTTTTCAAGTTTTGAGGTATACCTGACGAGAAGATATGCCGTAATTTTCCGAACGCTGCCCAACCGAGTTGAATCCGTCGGTTGACCTCTCGGTCGAAGTTGGACTTACCTAGTCGGACTATTTGTCCCAGGTAAACATACTCGTCAACAACTTCGAGCTTAGTGCTCCCAACAACTACCGGCATAGGTGTGATATGGACATTTGTTTTGTCCATGTTCATCTTAAGACCTATCCGTTGGGAAACACTATTGAGGTCATTGAGCATAGTGCGTAGGTCCTCCAGCGATTCTGCCATAAGGACTATATCGTCGGCAAATCGAAGGTGAGTGATGTACTTACCATTGATGTTGATACCGTATCCTTTCCAGTCCAGAAGCTTGAAAACGTCTTCCAATGCAGCGGTGAAGAGTTTCGGGGATATAACGTCACCCTGTCTTACACCTCTCTGCAATTGGATAGGTTTCGTACTCTGGTTCTGTACTCGGATCTTGGATGTATCTTAGCCCTACTGTACAAGCACTTCAACACTTCAATATACCGACAGTCAACTTGGCACCGCTGGAGGGACTGCAGCACCGCCCAAATTTCGACGGAATCAAAGGCTTTCTCATAGTCCACATACGCCAGACATAGTGGCAAATTGTACTCCTCGGACTTCTGTACAATTTACCGAAGGGTACGTATGTGGTCTATGGTGCTAAAGCCTTTTCGGAAACGGGCTTGTTCGGGAGGCTGGAAGTCGTCAAGTCTGCGCGCGAGATGATTCGTAATGACTCTCGAAAACAGCACGTAGACGCGGCTCAGAAGGGAAATCGGTCTGTAGTTCTTCAAGATAGCGTTGTCGCTTTTCTTGAAGAACAAGACCACCGCACTTATGCTCCACGCCTCCGGTGTTATGCCACCATGGAGGACGGAATTAAAGAGCTTCTGAAGGACTTCAAGTATCGGTTTTCCACCCGCTTTCAGAAGCTCCGCTGTAATTCCATCTGCCTGGGCCTTACCGTTTTAAGGTGCTGGAGAGCCATTCTAATCTCGCTCAGACTGACGTCCGGGATATCATCGTAATAATGTCGGATAAGACTCGCACTTGGATTGATACTCACACTTGCGTGTGGCTCCAACGATGATGTGTACAGCTGCCCATAGAACCTCTCAATCTCACTCAAAATCTTAGGTGTCCCGGAAATGACGCTGCCACACTCGGTCTTCAGCTTCGACAGTTGGCTCTTTCTGACAGACAGATCTCTAGCAAGGACTTTGGAGCCCTGGTTCCGCTCAATCGCTTCTTCAATACGAGCAGTATTAAAGTTGCGTAAGTCCCGCCGCATGCATTTGGAGATCTGTCTGTTCATTTGCCTGTATGCTGTCAAATCTACTGAAGACTGCAGCTTCATATCCCGTCTAACAGCCATGAGATTAAGAGTGCGATCGGAGAGTTTTTGTGTTCTTCTGCGGCGGGTCTTGCAAAACTTAGCTCCGACCGCATGGACAGTTTCCACGAGCTTGTCATTCATATCGTCCACTGCATCGCAATCTTCTAGGCACTGAAAACGGTTTCGTAGCTCGAGCTGAAAGGTTTCGGGACTTTGGATTAGAGCACGAGGGGGACGCAGCGTTGACTTCATTAGACGTGACCTCTCCAACTTAACGTTTAGGTTCAGTGTGCCTCGGTGATCGCTGCCGGTTTTCACCCTCGCGGTCACTGAGACATCATTGAACAGTTGTCGTCTGGTCGTCATAATGAAGTCAATCTCATTTTTTGTCGAACCGTCGGGGCTCGACCAGGTCCACTTCCTGTAGGGCCGCTTCTGGAAGAAAGAGTTCATCACAAAGAGTCCCTCTTTCTCCATGAAGTTGGCCAGCTGCTGGCCCCTTGGGTTCCGTTGCCCTATTCCGGTTTCCTCTACTTTCAGCTCACCGTTTTCTCTTGTGCCTAGTTTTGCATTGAAGTCTACCATTAACACCGTCTAGTGGGTTTTGGAGGAATGCATGGCTTTAGAGATATCCTCATACATTTCCTCCACCTCCTCATCGGGGTGTGCCGAGGTTGGTGCGTAAACCTGTATGACCTACAGCGAATACCGTTTGGTGATTCTAAGTATAAGGTACGCAACCCTCGTCGACACACTCCCAATCTTTACAACGTTGTTAACGAGACACTTGTGGACGATAAATCCGACACCTCCTTGGGACAGATGGTCGCCCTCCCGATGATAGAAAAAGTTGCCGGATTCGAGGATTAGCATGTCCTCCCCCTCTCTTCGGACCTCGGATAATCCTATGATATTCCAGAGCAACTTGTCTATCTCTTCTTCCACCTCCAGGATCTTCTCGTCAGTCCTCAGGTTGCGTGCGTTATAAGTTGGCAAGTCGAGTCGTGGCAACCGAAACTCCACCGGAGATTCTTAGCACCCCCTGCCCCACCGTTACCATGGTCGCCACCGTAGCCAGGAATAGCGGGGGGCCGCCGGGGATTGGAGGCCGTCTCTTTGTTACTCTCATGGGAGGTGTATTGTCATAGTTGCCACGCTTGGCGAGCGGGTTGGTAACCGCAGTTTTTTATTGTTGTTTTGCTATTATCAGAAAGATGCTGCTGCCCATCCTCTGCCTCAGTTTCCCTCTGTCGCCTCTTACGACACCCACGAGAAGATATGGGGTAGTGAGTATTCTTTTCCGCCACTACACGGGTAGTGTAGAGAGTGACCGACATAGCCCAACGGATTAGTAAGCTGAAGTAGCAATGGGCCGGCCATATAGCTCGAAAAACCGACAATCGATGGGGAAAAAATGTTCTCGAGTGGCAGCCTCGTACCGGCAGGCAAGTGTAGGGCGTCCCCCCACTAGATGGAGTGTCGACCTGGTAAGTGGCTCAGGACCGTGCTTTGTGGCATTCCTTGGGGGAGGCCTATGTTCAGCAGTGGACTTGTGAAAGGCTGTGATGAGGATGATGATGATGAAAAAGCTTCAAATGCCATGAAAACATAACGCTAATCAATAAACAAATGACTAATTTTGAAAAAAAATTTTCAAACAAAAATTATTTTGAATTGAATTGGCCAGTACTGCAGAACGCCAATTTCATAGGTACCTATGAGGTAAGGGCCTATTATACGTCTAAAGCTTCTATTCAAACGCGCTGTGAGATGAAACAATGTTAAGCTTCACTATTGCAGAATGAAGAAGGATTCGATCGTCTAGACATTGCCAGGGAACTGTTCCGACAAAGGCAACTGGCCCAGGACAAGTATATCCGGGAAATAGTTGCGGAACTGGGCGGAAAACGTGCGTCAAACAAGTGCATCAGTGTTGACAACCTGAAACGTGCTTTCGCGATTGTTGATCCCGCCATAGGTCAGTAAAATTGAATTACCTTTTTTTTTGTTATGGTAAGTGGTTGCTGTGGCCCATAGACATCTGCATCTATCCTCGATTATGAATCAAAATGCAGATGCGTTGTCACCCGGGAGGACTATGATGGAATGCCTCTTTTCCAGTAAAAAGGGTCTCCGGTTCTCTACCCTCACCATACGAAACACAGCAGCGTTAAGCTGCTATTTTACGCTGGTATTCTGGGAGAGCGTGGTTCCCCGGTCGAGCCGACCCATTCGTGCTACAACTATCCCAGTATATACCACGTAAAAATACCTGTCTTTAATATTAAAATAACTGGCTACAAGCCCAAAGTTTATTTACATGCTATTAAGACATAAACTACCATTTTTTAAATTTTCTATGCATGACTTTGCCTTGACATATGGTCTAACACAACTGGTTACTTTGCCTACGCGGATCCCAGATGTGGAGGATCATGTATCTTCCCTGTTGGACCTTCTGTTGACCTCTCATCCGGAACGGATATCAGGTCTCCGTCGATGCCCCTCTGGGCTCTTCGGACCATTGTCTGATCCGGAGTACGATGCCACTCACGCTCCCATCGCAGCTACGATCTGCAGCTTGCCGCCGTGTTTGGCACTATAGGTCGGCTGATTGGGACGGGATGCGGTCTTTTTTTGCATCCTACCCTTGGGGGCAGGTTTGCTTCTCGCCGGAAGATCCCAGCGTTGTTGCCGATTCTGTTGCTGATGTGGTACTTCAGGGTATGGAACTTTTTATTCCATCCTCTGTGGTGCCCATCGGAGGCAGATCCCAGCCATGGCTTGGTCGCTCCTGTAAAATAGCATCACGCTATAAGCTACCTGCTACCGGGTCTGGGCTGACGCATCAACGTCCCGGGATGTAAACACCAGCGCTCTTAAAAAGAAGTATAATTCCGCCTCCAGGTCCTTCAAAAGTGTCATTGCCAAGGCAAAGTCAGAGTACATCGGCAGAATTGGCGAGAAACTAGTTCGCCTCCCTTCGGGAACACGTGCATTCTGGTCTCTCGCCAAGGCTGTCCAAGGGAACTTCTGTCAGCCATCTTTTTTTTTATAGGATAAGGGTGACAAGCGAGCGCACAGTCCACCTGATGGTAAGTGGTTGCTGTGGCCCATAGACACCCACATCTATCTTCGATTAAGAATCAAAATGCAGATGCGTTGTCACCCGTGAGGACTAAGATGGAATGCCTCGTTTCCAGCAAAAAGGGTCTCCGGTTCTCTACACTCACCATACGAAACACAGCAGCGTTAAGCTGCTATTTTACGCTGGTATTCTGTGAGAGCGTGGTCCTTCCCCGGTCGAGCCGACCCATTCGTGCTACAACTATAGTATAGCTGCAGCATGGCTCTACCACGTATGAAAACCATCTCTGCCATCTCTGCACAGGGTAGAAGACTCACTGGCCCATGACGTAAAGGAGAAAGCCGATCTGCTAGGCTCTCTTTTTGCTTCCAACTCGACTCTAGATGACGGGGGCAACACAACGCCGACCATCCCGCGGTGTGAGTGCTCCATGCGGAAAGTGCTGTTTACACAGCGCTCGGTGCGTAAAGTACTCCAGTACTTTACGCACCGAGCGACAAGTCGAGTGGGCTTGATGGAATCCCGCCTGTTGTGCTGAAGACGAGTGCTCCGGAGTTGGCACCGGTTTTAACGCCTCTTTTTCGTTACTCCTACTCCCTAAGCGTAGTCCCGAACACATGGAAGACAGCTTTGGTGCACCCGATCCTTAAAAAAGGGGACCGCTCAAATCCGTCCAAATACAGGCCTATCGCTAACACCTCCTTGTTCTCCAAAGTAATGGAAACCATTATTAACAGCCAGCTCATGCGGTACCTTGAGGATCACCAGCTGATTAGTGACCGCCAGTACGGCTTCCGTCGAGGTCCCTCAGCTGGTGATCTAGGCTACCTAACTCATAGATGGGCGGAGGCAGTGGAGTCCAAGGGGTAAGCGTTGGCCGTTAGTTAGGACATAGCGAAGGCTTTCGATCGGGTATGGCACAAAGCGCTGCTTTCCTATGGGCTTCCCAAGAAATTGTGCAATTGGATCACCAGTTTTCTTGCAGATCGGAGCATCAAGGTCGTAGCCGAGAAATGGTGCAATTGGATCACCAGTTTTCTTGCAGATCGGAGCATCAAGGTCGTAGTAGACGGTGCATGCTTCGATTACAAGCCCATTAACGCTGGTGTTCCACAAGGTGTATCAATGATATGTTGCAAACCAATAACATTCATTGCTATGCAGACGACAGCACTGGTGTTGCTTTATACACCGGCCGTGCCAATATTTCTCGGGAAAACGTCGCCGAGTACCGGAACAAACTTGTGTCTGAAGTCGAGTCTTTGCTGAACAAAGTCTCAAACTGGGGCCGACTAAATCTAGTCCAGTTTAATCCCCAGAAGACACAAGTTTGTGCGTTTATCGCTAAAAAGAATCCCTTTGTCGTATCTCCTCAGTTTCAAGGCACTTCCCTTGTTGCCTCAGCCAGTATCGGTATCCTCGGTGTTGACATATCGAGTGTCGTGCAGTTTCGTGGTCACTTGGAAAAGAAGGCCAAATTCCCAGTGCCAGCTCCTTCCACTTGACCGCATCCAGCGTAGCGCTGTTCGAATCGTCAACGACCGAGTTCTTTCCGATTGGCTTGACTCACTGGCACTGCGTAGAGATGTTGCGTATTTTATCGCATCTACCACTGGGAGTGCTCTGAGATATTGTTCGGACTAATTCCAGCCACTCAATTTCACCATCGCACATCGCGACAAAACTCGCGATACAATCCATATCATCTGGATTATTGGCGGTCCACCACTGTGCGATTTAAAAGAAGTTTTCTCCCTCACACAACTTCCTTGTGGAATCGATTACCACCAGCGATTTCGGACCGATACGACTTAGGGACCTTCAAGAAAAGAGCCTACTCCTTTTTAAAAGGCCGGCAACGCATCTGCGATTCCCCAGTTGTTCATGGGCGGCGATAGTCACTTACCATCAGGTGAGCCGCATGCTCGTTTGCCCCCTCTCCTATAAAAAAAAATTGTCTGTCTGTCTGTCCGGGCTAATCTTCCTAATAGCTGAAACTATTTTAACAATACTTCACAATCAGACAGCAATGTCAGGAGTGATCTAGAAAAAAAAGATATACAACTGATCTTTGATAATATTCTGAAATCTAAATAACGTCACATTAATAGATACTCAGGCGAATTTAGAGCGAGTCTTTACTTATTATAAGCCAGTACTTGACTAGCCAGTGTCTTAGCGTAACAAAAGCCTATTCACTTTTGCCTTGATGACAATGATGATGAAAAAAAGGTTCTCGAGTGGCGGCCTCATATCGGTGGACGAAGTGTAGAGCGTCCCCCCACTAGATGAAGTGACAACCTGGTAAAACATGCAGGAAGTCGATGGAAGCAGGTGGCTCAGGACCGTGCTTTGTGGTATTCCTTGGGGGAGCCTATGTTCGGCAGTGGACTTGTGAAGGGCTGTTAATGATGATGATGATGATGAACTAGACTTAACTCGTGTTAAATTAGCGAACTTGATAAGTTTTATTATAAATACGGACGACTCATCAACATCGGATTCGTCCGATTACAATCTGGTCACCTTAAGGCAAGAGCCGCAAGAGGGATTAGGCTTTTGTTAAGCTAAGACAGTGCGATTTACCATGTAGGGCTTATCGCCACTTACCACCAGGTGGGATTGTATCGAGCTCTATTTGAAAATCAGCGCTGCTGTCATTTAGTTCATCAGCAGTTAGCTGAAGTAGGGACCCAATTGGACTTCACACAAATTCTCTGGTAGTAGTGTATTTCTTGTTATTTCCTTGTATTTGTGATGTCAAATAAAGTTTCCTTTCTTTCTTTCTTGCAGTCAAGCAATGGCTTATAATAAGTAAAAAAGTCGTTCTCGTTTATATAAAAACCGGTTTATAGTTCAACGAGTTCGCTTATGTTCAAGGAAAGTTTGTAATTGGTCAGTAGAATGATTAGACGATTGTGTAGAGCCGGCATAATTATCACAACTATCATCATCAACTAGCTTTTTTTTACTCACAGATCACATCCGCATGGAGCGTAACATTCGCTGGGCGTTCTCCGACCAAACGTCGGAACTAAATAGCATTAGTCCAATTCCACTACGCACTTTAGTCGCACGACTGGCCGCAGGTAACATAGAACGAGTCGGACCTCGGTACAAGGGCGTGTATAGAAGAACTTTTTACAAATAATTTATTTTATTTATCACTTAAGATTAAGAAATTTATAGTTTTATTATATAAATATTCTTTTACGGTTAGAAATTACGACGAATTTAATCACGCCCCTTATCACATGGTGCCTAAAAGCAGCTAACAACACGCCCGCACTTCGACTGTTACGCAACGGACGCCACGCGTCACATTTGATCTGGCATTGCCGTCAGTTTCTTCCCATAGTGATTCAAGCGCTACCTCGATGTCATATTTTTTTACACATTCTTCGTTACATTTTTTTTTATAGGATAAGGGTGACAAACGAGCACACAGTCCACCTGATGGTAAGTGGTTGCTGAGGCCCATAGACATCTACATTTATCCTCGATGAGGAATCAAAATGCAGCTGCGTTGTCATCCGTGAGGACTAAGATGGAATGCCTCGTTTCCAGTAAAAAGGGTCTCCGGCTCTCTACACTCACCATACGAAACACAGCAGCATTAAGCTGCTATTTTACGCTGGTATTCTGTGAGAGCGTGGTCCTTCCCCGGTCGAGCCGACCCATTCGTGTTACAACTATACCAGAAATATAGTTGCAGCATGGCTCTACCACGTAAACATGTACATGTTTCAAGAGATATTATATGATACGAGGAAGATGATCTGGTGTAAATCTAAAGAACTGAAATGTACTAGTTGATAAATTATTATAATCAACCTAAATTTAAACTAATTAAATACTAGCAACAAGCGGTGCTTTGGGCGGGCTCGCGAAGTTTTCTACTAAGTAATTTTCAAGGCAGTTTTTTTTTTTTAGAGAGATTTTACTTTTAATGTATGGATTATTAACAGGGGCTTATGTAAATAATTCATACGACAAATGATGGATGTGTATCATAAGTTTGAGAAGGACCTGGGTACCACGTCGATATGAATTGATCGAAATAATTTATGATTTCTTGAATTCTTGCAATATCAACTGGATTGAGATTCTTATGATTCGCAGCATTTTAAAACCAGGAAATTGCCATGCATATGAGGACTACCTCGGTGCAGAAATTCAACACGGAACCAAAAATCCTTGACTTTAAAGAATTTTTCACAAAATGCTCCATAAAAAAGATCTAATCGCTTATGAAAAAAGTAAGAAACTATCATAGGATTTGAATTTAATAATTTATATTTACGAATAAATTCACTGTTTTGATTAAAATTAGCATAATTATAATCAAACAGCTCTGGCTAATGTAAGTCAGCTGCACTTAATATTATAAATACTGCTGGACTTCTAAATTCTTCAATCATATCAACTAAATCTCTAGATCTTGCATAAGCTACGAGTATATTACCTCAAATTAGGATTATATGATAAAATTCATTTATATAATAATGGATTTTGCTACAATGATTCTCGAAGCTGTACAATTGTTTCAACATTATGTAAAACTGTCGTTTCATACTTTAAATGCAAAAAATCGAAATCTTGAATCTCTTGCAAATTTGCTGTCTTCATACATCATGAGGAATTTAAAATATTCATTATTTTAAACTTTACAAACTTGTGTATCTCTAAAGTCACCTTTACCAGTAGGAAATAAAGTTGGAAATGTTCTGCAAATATATCAATCATATGTAAATTCATTAATTGGCACAGAATGCAATCTAGGCCAAGGTAAAATGCAAGATCCATCATTTGCTTCTTTGATGTTCAGTACACTATTCACTGCTTTACGATTACATTGAAAAGTCACCGTTGGGGCTCCAGAATTATAAACATTATCATATAATGTATTTTGTTCCCGGCAGCGACACGCCTGTCCACATCTAAATCACATCTTCCATCCCGGCTAAAAGCACTCCCCAAGTATACAATTTCATTTACCTGTTCTAGACATTCCTGATTTACCCATATTTCACACTTCGTTCTCTCTTCGTCCCTTTCAAAAGTCTAGTCAAAAGGCAAGGCGTAGCGAAGAGTGCACGCCTTGCAATACATAACGCAGTGTTGGTACCGACTTTGTTATATGGCAGCGAAACCTGGGTATGCCAGAAGAAGCATAAAAGTAAGTTGAATGCAGTGGAGATGCGATCTCTTCGTAAAATGTGCGGCGTTACCATGGCCGACCGAAAGCGAAACGAAGAGATTCGCAATATGGCAGATTTGAAAGATGACCTTATCACAAAAATTGATAAGGGCGTGCTTCGGTGGTTTGGGCACGTTGAGCGAATGAGTGAAGACCGAATGGTGAAGAAAATATATAGCGCGAAAGTTAATATTAAAAGGTGTCGAGGTAGACCGAGACTAACTTTCGAAGACCATGTGAGCAAATTGCTCGAAGAGGGTAGGGTCAAAAGTACTCGGATACCTAGACGTGCATGCATGAAGAAGATAATGAATCTGAAAGAAGCGAAAGAGGTTTGTAAGGATCGTGACACTTGGCGATCTGTTCTCTCTGGCTACCCCGTCAGGGATTGTGCGTAAAGATAAGTAAGTAAGTATATAATGTATTTTGATCACCATCTTCACTGTCTAAATTAAATGAAAGATATTCTTTTTCTTGGCTTGATACAATATGTTGAAAAATACTTACATTATCAGGTAAACATTGTAAATTATTTTCGTCGATTGTAACATCACGATACCAAGGACTGTTATATTTAAGATATATCAAATCTGCCTTAACATTATCACGATTAACAATAAAATCTTTATACCCTTAACCACAATTTATTTTTACAAAAATATATTTGAAATAGTATCAATAGAATGAGGTAAGGATATAGTAAAATCTGTGATATCTTGATGGAAATTGATAACTTGGCCACTGTATCCAAATTGACCACCTTTAAATTTATATACTGTAATAACCGGGTGAACTTGAGCGATTAATTGTTCTTCAAGAAATGTAATTTTTTTTTAAACATTAGGATGTGGTCAAGGATCCATATTATTGTCTACAGAAAATATATTTAATTCGTTTTTTGCTTGAAATTTGTGACAAAGAGCACAAAGTTCATCTGTTTCAATATGTAAATCAAACCAACGACATTTTCACGATAAAAATTTAATTCTGCGTCTCGAGCGTAGTCTTACTTCATTCATCAAAGAACGGTTTAGTTCACGTTCTTTACTGCCAGTTAACGTGCGTCTTCGTAGCATTTTAATGTAACAATAACATTGATATAATTAACATTTCCGACATTTTTCATCAAGTTATGCTCCATTCATAATTCAAAATCAGCTCCATCTAACGTATCTAACGTGGTACCACTATAAAAGTATTTTTTAGTTTTCTTACAACAATAAAAATCTAATTAACGAAAATAATTGTTATGTCTTCTATTTTTTGAATATGGATAAAATAATACTTTTATGATTGATAACAGATCCAGACATGAATCGAAAATTACTATGTCAAAGTGCACACCTGAAAGTGTGATAGATCCTCAGTAAAGTGTACTAACAGTGGTAGAACCACGCGGCAGCTTTTGCTGTCGCACGGATGGACCGGCTCGAACTGGGGTGGTACCACGACCTCACAGAATACCAGCGTGAAGTAGAGGTTTACCTCTGCGTTTCGCTTGGTGAGTGCAGGTGGTCGGAGGCCCTTTTTACTGGAAATGAGGCATTCCATCTTAGTCCTCACGGGTGACAACGCATTTGCATTTTTATTTGGAATAGAGGATAGATGTAGATGTCTATGGGCCGCAGGTACCACTTACCATCAGGTGGACTGTGTGCTCGTTTGTCACCCTTATCATATAAAAAAAAACAAAAATGCATAGATTGTGGGATAGCGCAGGATAAAAGGGTTTCTTGTCCGTTCTTCCCAGGCTGGAGGTTTTTTCCAGAAGGTAAACGTAAAAAAATTACTTTCAATAAGAATTACACAAAATGTATAATGAATAAAATTTATTCTATTCTATCTACGCTCTCTGCCCAAGTAAGCGCTGTCCCGTTGGAAGATAGAGCTGTGCCGTCTACTTTGTATACATTTATAATAGACGGCGATAACGTACTCCTATTGGATAAAATATTGTTTTATTAATGTTTTTTTTTTTTGTATACTTAATTTAAGGATTATTTATCGACTAAATCACCGTACTTAGAAATCTTCGTATCGATTAGAACTGAACTTCCTTCAAATGTAAGTCAGCTGAGTTGAAGCACGAAAAAAACTAGCTAAGTGCGAGTAGGACTCGCTCATGAAGAGTTCCATATCATCGTAATATACATTTCTAGTAAGGGAACCCCCTTAATTTTTTATTTTTTTTTATATTTTTTGTTATAGCGGCAACGGAAACACATTCTGTGAAAATTTCAACTGTCCATCTATTAGGGATCATGAGATACAGCCCACTGACAGACGCACGGACAGCGGAGGCTTAGTAATAGGGTCCCGTTGGTTAACCTTTGTGTACGGAACCCTAAATAGTTTATTTTACTGAATTGCAATTTGGCATTCGGAATGTTAGTTTATACTTGCTGGGAATCGATTATTAAATTTACAAATATATTACAATACGGAATGTTACGTTTATGTTATACGTGTTATACTTTAAGTATTGTTACTGAACTTTAATAAATATTACAAATAATACTATTTATTTTATTTTATATAAAACTATTTCATATATCTATATAAAGTTCGGAATACGAAACCTATACAACTCCAGAGAGGAGGGTGACGTTATATACACGAAACTTCACCTCTGCATTAGAAGACATTTTCAAGCTACTGAACTGGAAAAAGAACTCTCTATTAACATCAATGGCGAGTGCATCACTCCTCAATTTGCCGATGATATTACAGTCATTATTGCAGAACCCCTGGAGGATATGAACATATTGCTGCTCAATAATATCTCACAACGCACAGGTCTTAAAATGAATATTGACAAAACAAAGGTCATGTGTAACGTCCATGTCACACCTGTGTCAGTAGACGAGTATTTTTATCTAGGACAAATTGTTCGATTAGGTAAATCCAACTTTAACCGAAAGGTCAATCGACTAACCCCACTTGGCTGGGCAGCTTTGGGGATACGATACATCCTTTTACACATTACGTTTACCACAAAACTTGAAATACACTCTAGTATAACTAGTGCGTGCTGCCAGTAGTGATGGCATATGGATCTAAGACGTGGTTTTTCACTACTGACTGAATAAGGAAGCTCAATGTCTAATGATAGACTTTATAATGACGATATTAGAAGAATAAAGAGTGTACCCGACATAGCGCAACAAAAAAAGCTGAAGTAGCAATGGGCAGGCCATATAGCTCGAAGAACTGACAACCGTAGGTGAAGAAAGGTTCTTGAGTGGCAGCCTCGTACTGGTAACCGAAGTATATACATCTATAAGGAATGGCGACCCGGTAAGAGATGTAGGAAGTCGATAGATTTTGTAGCATTAGTTGGGGAAGGTCTATATTAATCAGTGGACTTGTAATGCACTGTAATGATGACTATGTTGATGATGACCGTAAGCGGATTGCTATTCTTGCGCCGTAAAATTTACCAAAAATCGTATTGCACCTTGCTCGAATATGAGCTTGTATTACTGTTCCCATTTGCCATATGATATCTATTTCCAGTCGTCAGCCAGCTCTCATCATAAATTCCAAGAACCTATGTACCGCAGTTTCTCAGTTCCTCATTCAGTAACTAAGGTTGATGAGGAGCCTCGTTAATCTTGTGGTCATAAATGCGACTTCTGATCATGTGGCACGTGGATTCAAAAGCATAGTCGGATAAACGAACCAACTATTGAGTTATTCTGTCAATGAATTCTCAGTAGCTGTCCAGAGGCAGGAGTTTGGCGGTGTTTCATACCCGTGCCTCAGAAAGCACGAAATGTGAAGTGGACTCTCACAGAAGTGCACTCTCAATTGAGAGCACCTTTGTTTGCATAGACATTCGTGCACTATAATCTAGCCTGCACAGTCTCCATTGAGGCTGATCACCGTGACCGAAATTAGATCTGGTTCTTCTTCTTATTATTCAATAAAATCTGAAAAACTCTTTTCTTGTTAAGAAATTTTTCCTTCAGGATTAGAAGCATCTTAACATTTTATCAATCTTCTGAAAAGTATGTTAAGTAAAACAGTCGGACAGACTGATCGAAAGGGTCTGAATCTCTGTCGAGTTAGGCTGTCGTCAAAATATGGCAACCCCCCCCCCCTAATGTGACGTCATAAGATTCTTGTAACATTACGTACCTATATGGGTACCTTCATAAAGCAAATACAAAGAGGAGACAACATAAGCAACTGTGCACTGTGATTCTAAGTAGGTCCTGACGTCATCATTGTGGGCGTGGCTTTAGTTAATATACTGTCAGCATTCGTTCTGTTCGCTTGTGTTGGAAATTGCAAATCGGTGTATTTTCGTAGTATCAAGAAGAAAAAGATGAAGTGTTGTGTTTTATCGTGTAAAAACTACTCAGATAGACGCTGTGATGCTATGGATGGAATCACATTTCATTTGTAAGTAATTTTACACCTAATTTATCCAAATAGTTCTAGAAAAATCTCTTTGCGTCGGCTTTCAAATATAACTAAATATATTCGACATTATATGGCGACACTTTGTGTGTCATGTGAACTAAAAATATAAAGGTACGTAGAGCTCAGTATTGGTAAAATAATCATACGAAGGTGCTGAAATTTGTTTTGCATTCAGTCCTAAATAATTTTTAATCGCAAAATATTATTTTTATAGTTTTTATAATCATTTTGTGAACAGGCCGCCATCTATCGTCAAGGTAGCTAAACTACATTGCAACATCGATATGGAACGATTCAAGTCGGTAGATGTAGATAGTGAATTGGGCGGAAATGAACATCCCCTCATCCCGCAAATTGTCACGCGTTGTTACATAGTGAAATCTAATTACAACACCTCCTCATTGTATTTGCTTCATGGTTACCTTCCTAATTCGTTGGCAAAAACACTGATTGCTCGAGTACTACAACTAAAGAATAAAAAATGTCTATGTCTATGACATAAACTAAATGACATTTTCGTTGTCATTTTTCAATTGGTGATTTTATGCATGTCATTCGATTGCAAGCAACTTACATACCTCTAAAAAGAATTTTGAATTACATAGTGTTTATTAAAGCAAAATGTTGAGTGTTAACAGTAATTTTCCTGAATACGCGGTGCCTGGCGCCAAGCAGCTTCGTTTTGAACCTTACGCAGACAATGGAGGCAGCGTTGTGGCCATCGCCGGCGAAGACTATGCCGTTATTGGTGCGGATACCCGACTTAGCACTGGTTTTTCAATTTATACTAGAGAACAGAAGAAACTTTTCAAACTCTCTGATCGTACCGTTCTCGGTGCTACTGGATGCTGGTGCGACACTCTCACACTAACGCGTTTATTGCAAGCGCGTATGCAAATGTATGAACATGAACACAATAAAGCTATGTCGACTCCTGCTGTTGCGCAGATGCTGTCTACGATGCTATATTATAAACGATTTTTCCCTTACTATATTTCGAACATTCTTGCTGGGTTAGATGCAGATGGTAAGGGTTGTGTCTACAGCTATGACCCTATTGGACATTGTGAACGCTCAAACTACCGTGCTGGTGGATCAGCAGGCGCTCAGCTGCAGCCTCTTCTTGATAATCAAATTGGACTTAAAAACATGCAGAATGTTACTGAAGCTCCTGTACCTAAAGACAAGGCTCTTGCATTACTCAAAGATGTTTTCATTAGTGCAGCTGAACGTGACATTTACACTGGTGATTGTATTTACATTTTAGTCATAACAGCCAGTGGAATTCAAGAAGAGAAGTTTGAATTACGTAAAGATTAAAAGTGTATCAATAAATTTTATAAAACAACTTGTTTTTATTATTTTGTAATATTAATTCTTAATGAGTCTTTATTACGTCTGTATTTAGTTATTGATTTATTTTAGAGAAAATTAAATACATATTAACAAATAACTGAATTTATTGTTAAAATAATTACAAGATAACTACAATATAATCACATTTGTTCATATTTACAAATTTCAATAAAAATGAAGAATTAACATTTTAATACAGTTTATTTATTGTACTTAGGCATAACAAATATATTCTGGGGGAATATTTTCTCAAACATCTCTGTGACTACTTCTTGTTTTGCACTTTCACCTAGTACAGTTGCTTTTAATCTTGGTGGTGTAGTGTTGCCAGCAACAAGGGGATGAATGTTATAAATTAATTCAACTTTATCATGGGGTGGCACTGTAACTGTTAACTTTTTATACCCAGAAAACATATAAGCATCGGTTCCTTCCACAGCGAGACTAAGTCTGACAGGAGTGTCGGACTTGCCAAACAAAGTGCATTTCAATGGTATAGAGGTTTGAAGCTCCACCACTTCAGGGTAATTGACTTCTATTGCTATAGGGCAATCATCGACCGGTATTCCTGATAAAGCAGTAGTGCTTCTTACACAAAGCCCTTCAATATTATTGCTCCGCCTCCATGTAATATTGTAAAGCCCTACTCTAGTAGGAAGGTCTTTCGGTTTGTACTTAGCTTTGACACAAATGGCATCTGATGCTACATTCTTCTCTGCTACTTCTAAATTACTAATACAAGATGAGGGCTTGCTGTTATCACCATAGTTGAAACAATTTGCAACTTCTAACTCAGTGTCTACAATCAGTAGATCCCATGGACTCAAGATTTTTATTTGTGGCATTACAATAAAGGGATCATCTACAAAGCATTTTGTGATTGGTTTAAAATTCATGGCAACAAAATGAGTTGTTACTTCAAAAGGTTTAGTTACAGTTATTTTTGTTGTAAAGTCCTTAACACATTCCAATTTTGGAATTTCTGGCAGATCAATAAGGTATGTCACTTTTATTTGTACAGTAATGCTGGTTGTTCTATTGGATTTTAAATAGAATATGTTGGAGTAACTAGCAGATTTGTTGACTGTAGCTGCTGATACTTTCAAAGGTTGACCTTGGGACTGTTCCGGCTTCCAACTCAATTCAGTTACTGAATCTGGGTTTGGATTATCAGGAGAGCTCAAAAGGGACAGAGTAATTGCTACATTATTAACTTCAGTGTTTTCATTATTTCTTATTGTAAATGAAGTAGGAAACCATTCTCCTTGAAGTGCTGGACATGCATTTGTTATATCTAGTGAAAGTCTACATTCCCTTGCAGTAATGGAAGCTACAGTTGAAGGCACAATACAATCGAACTCATAGTCAGATTTCGGACTCAATATGAAATGTAGCAATTCAGGATGAACTGCTGATTCTAAAACTTTACTTTCTTCTACTTTGAAATTCATCACAATTTTCCTTTTCCTGTCTGAATCAAGAATAAATGATACATTTTTGATGTGTAAGTCAGATCCACTATCTTGTGGGTTAGTTTTAAATTGACACAAGAACTTTCTTACTTTACCACCTACTAAGGATATAACAGAATTTCCATTGTCACTTATAGGTATTTCAATTGATTCTGTGTTGCTTGATATTGTTACAGACAACTTCCTTACTTCGAGGGATGTTACATAATTCAATCGTACATATAATTCAACTTCAACTATTTCATCTGTCCTGTATCTTTGTTGTCTAAATTTAGTTTTTACTTCTAAGAAACTAGATATGTTGGCCATATCAATTGTAATTGCAAATGGTTCTCTTTCTACAGCCATTTGCCATAATTCTAAGGCCTTACTTTGCGATGAAGCTGGCAAGTCAGGCTCAGGAGAAGGAATGTTAAGATTGAGAACTGACATGATGTTTTTAAATATCCTGTCTTTATCATTATTTGGCACTTGAATATGTTTAGATAGTGCTTCCACTGAGAGCTGGATGTAATCCTGAATTTTTGCTGATAAATATGCACACTGCAATGCTCTGTTTAAAACATGAGATGCCAAAAACCACCACTTCTCTCTTCTGTAATCCCACAACATGTGTGTTAAAAGGGTCAATGCTTTACCATAATCAGCACAGTAATAATATTCATTGGCCATCTCTACCACAAGCTGCTTCCTCATGCGGGGGGAATGGAATGTTTTGAATTGTGAAATAGCATTACCCAAGAAGCTGATGATCATTGCCGAATGGTTAAACATCCTCTCATTATACTGTAGAGCCAATACAGCTGCTTGTTCCTTCTGTGGGTCATGGGGATCAGCGCTGAGCCTACCAGGTCTCCAAGGTCTTTGTCCATAAAACTCAACAATACCTTCCAATGGATCTGGTGGTGGTGGATACTGCAATGCATCACAACAAACTGATCGCATAGCTTGTCTTCTCATTACTGTAAATTGTGCAGCTTGTTGATAGTAAAAGCCTGGATGTTGAGATTGAATAGCTGGTAACCCAGCACGGATGGTTTCATCAAATAGTTCCCCAAAAGCACTATACTGCCTTGCAATCCAAGCATAATGTTCAAAGAGCAGTTCTGTTGGACCAACTCTGTTCTTATACCGCTCAATGTGGGATTTAAGTTGTGCAATAGCATCCCTAGGAAGGTTCAATGCAAACAGAAGTTTACATAGTTTATAATTGATGTAACCAGCTACAGTTCTAATTTCATGCATGTTTGTATCAACAGTCCTTGTTTCAAGCAAATTATTGTAAGAATGCATGTAATGCTTGTGTGCAGTACTGAGATCTTGTTTCAACTCATTTAAATAACCCAACTTGAATTGATGTCGAACAAATAAGTATTGGTGAGTGGTTTTATTGAGATGATCTCTATGCTGCTTGATGTTTTTAGTCTCATGATGATAGTAATTTTGTGCAATATCATAGAATGCATTTTCAAGGCGTATTATATAGCCCATAAGATGGTCACTGTGTGGAAGAACAAATAATGACTTTGACTGTATTTCACAAGCAGCACAAAGTGCCTGAGCTCTCTCAGCCCCAAGCATGTACTCAGATGGGGGAGGAGATAGTCCACTTTGCACAACAACAACGGCCACTCTTGTGGTGTGTCCTTCAACGGCAGCGCGGATAGATTGCACTCTGGAAGCACATTCAATTATTTTTTCATTCCATTGAGGGTCATTCCACTCCATATCATAAAAAATTACCACAACAGCCGGAATCAAATTCACACGTTTTTGAATCCAGTTCTTTTTGAGAATTCCTTTCGGTATGTACCATTCGTACGAATTTCTTTTTGGTTTCACTACTGGAAATTCAAAGGTGTTATTAAGTATCTTGAAACGTACCGATGCCCGGTCTGGCCGTCGATTATTGGAAAACGCATCCCATATAGTTTTATGCACCGCATTGTTTACAATATCCAACCCAGAAAGTCCTATGAGAGCCAAAGGTTTAAGTATTATCTCGGGCGGAAACTCAGTGTTGTCACTCGGCTGTGTCGCCATTGTCGTCAAGAATATTTGACAGCCACCGTGACAGAGTTCTAAGGAATATCACTACTTCATAGCATGGAAGAGATAATGCAGTGCAGTATTTTATTAATTCTGATTATATATTTCCACTACCCCATTACCATCACCATCCGTCAATTTCAATGATGTTTCGAAGTTGTCAATTGTCAAATCAAACTTCACAGACTAAAAATTGTTTTTTTAAGGCGAAAAGGTCTACGCACATACTAACTATTCTGACGTGTATTTTGTGCACATAATTCTATATTATCAGTATCATATTGCTATATTATCAATTACCGCCTTTTTGTTCAGAATTATCTATACAGGGTATTTTTGGAACGCTCCCGAAAACTAAGACAGGCGACAGCACCAGACAGCACCAAGTATACCTTTGATCATGGGTTACAAATAAAGTCGATCCTGATGAAAAAAAAATCATCTTTTAACAACGTTTTATTAGCTTTATTCACGCGCCATCATGTTAGTACAGCTAAATGAAACGATAATTTCATAAAAAATATCATGAAAATACTGAAACATAAAACCAGCAGTGGAAACTGAATTGATATCACCTGACTAATGGAGGTTAATGTACGCGCGAACGGTGAAAAACAAACGCTGGCCTTGAACTTGGGCACTGAGCGATTTATCACATATTGGTACGAAAGGCGCGCGACGGGGGAACAATCCGCCAGTATTAGTGTGCCTGCATGCTATTGGTTCCCGCGCTTTGTTCGCTCCAAAAATACAGTCGCATACACAGCTTACTTTGCGACTCGCGACGATGTTTTAAAAAGGAAGGAAAGAAAAATTATTTATATCTATTGTTTTATGACTAAACTAGTGATCGAAAAGGTAAATATGATAGGAGAAGGTGAATGGGGAAAATTGTGCAGTAAAGTTAAAAGTGTGGAGGAAGAATACCGAAAAAATTACCATGTGATCGACCTGATGACGGAAGCTCAAGCGAAGATGAAAGTGATGATGAAGTAGCATCCAGTAACACCAACACACCATTAACATCTGGCTTCCGTGTGACCCAAGACGTCATAATGGACGGCGTGTTACCCTTAGCTAAAGTTTTCTTGTTACAAACTACTTTATATTTTACGATAGAAATAACAAATAATGCTCATGTAAACATTATCCATTTTTAATTCCCACCTCTTCCAAAGTTCTAAGTAGCTAGTAAAACACCTATTATGATTCTACATTAAAACAATTAATTACTATAATATTATAAAACAATAGCCCAATACCATGTAGTACTTTAGAACGCGACTGTACCCACACCCCCTCCGCTATCGACCTGTATCTAGCTCGGTACGTAAGAAAAAAGGGCGCATCTAACAATTTATGAATAAATGAGTTAAATATACCATTCGATTCATGATAAGAAGGCGCATCTACTAATTTTTTTTAATATTCACAAATATCAATATTTTAGAAATTATCGTAAGAATTTTAGACGTAACTGTTGATCACAGATGACTTTTTTTAGTAGAAAAGACTTATACAAATTCAACATAAAAGAAAAGACTTATTTAACCAGTTGCTACGTCATCTTTAACAATATTTGCATCGATTACTTAAATTTCAATTATTCTTGGTCTTGTCTTATTATTCTATATCTTATTATTAAGAGCTTATATCTTATTGTTAAGAGCTGGTGTTTCACATGTGGTCCCATATAAATTTGATCGAGGTCAGAGCAATAGTTTTTGAGTTATCCTTAATTATTTATATTAAAGTCGGTTGTACAAAATTTATAATTTTTAATTATTATTGTAGTAAGTCTTGTATGATATCCCCTTTAAAATCATTACTCAAGAGTTGCGGGTTGTTATTTTTTGTGTCTCACTACCAATGCTTTTCTAATATTTATTAAAAAAAAAAGTAGTAAATTACTATTAGCGTCCTTTCAACTTCAAATGACCTTTCCAAAATATGTAAAATTGTTAAATGAATGGCAGTTTTTTTTTTTAATTTATTAGGTTGGAAAGATGCAAATAGTTATATGCGTCTTTCCTTCGATGTTTTTGTGATGCCAGGTGTATTTTTTAAGCTAAGATGAAAAGGAAAATTCGTTTTATTTAAATAAATAAACAAATTATCAAAAAATTTGTTCGTCCTTAAAATCTTCATGTCTCTACGTATATATTTCAATTTTCATATAGATACCTTTTAATATACTTTAGACACAGGGTCTGAAATAAAAATTCATCAATTTATTTTTTATTTCCATTTTACGTTTTTGTTAGTTGCGTCCTTCTTTATGTAACCCGGCCGGCTCGTGTCGCCTCACGCTGTGACGCAGTAGACAAAGAGTATAATAACTGTCCTAGCAGTAGGTTTCAGTTTTGTTGGGGTTCGTTATTAATTGTAGTTTTTGAAACAGTTCCGTGTTGATTTTGTACACGCGTGCGCGAGCGACAGCTCAATCGTATTGTTATTACTTGTGATTACGTGTTGGTATTATTCCTGTTGTTACGTTTTTTGTTTTAATAATGCTTAACGCGTACTTTTATAGTGATTGTGAATACAGCAACATGTTATCCGAACCCAGGTACACGAAGTATCGCCAAATAAATTGTTAAGACGTCGGGATGGAACAATTGTGTCATACTGTGCAGTGCACAAAGTGTTGAAGCGTAACCGAATGCGCCCATACAAATTGCACAAAGTGCAAGCTTTAGTTCCCGGCGATCACGTCCGCCGACGAGTTTTCTGCCGTTGGTTATTATACCAGCGACAACGTGTGTCTGGTTCCATTGAGCACATTATCTGGACGGATAAGTCGACATTTACCAGAAACGGCCTGTGGAACCGAAGAAATACACACGTGTATTCAGAGGTTAACCCGCACGCTGTTCGACAAACCGGGCACCAAACCCGATGGTCGGTTAACGTATGGGCAGGTTTATTTAAGGATCGCATACTGGGACCAGTGTTTCTGCCACAGCGACTGAACAGACAGCGATACCATGTCGTGAAGTTCGTCCGTGAGCGCCTCAATGAGCTATTTGATGATCGCTGGATCGGCAGACTAGGACCACACGCTTGGCCACCTCGCTCACCAGATCTGACCCCGTTAGACTTCTTTTTGGTATGTGAAAGAAAGGGTTTTTAATCGTGAGTGTGATAGTGCTGACAAAATGCGCCAAAGGATCGTGGATGCTTTCGAGAAACTATGTACGGACTGTGTCGAAGACCACACGATGATGCCCCGCCTGCACCCAAATCTACCTTGAAATGAATGGAGCACAATTTGAGCTGCATCTCATAAGACCACGGAGGATTTAGAGCGGTAAGCTGTTTCATAACTATTTTTTTTAAATAACTTAGTACTGAACTAATCTGAATAGGTACATAACTGAATACATGAGAATAATAAACATACCTACACGATGAATAAAAACGCATGACTCCAACCTTGGTTACATTTCATTTAAGTATTTTTTCATTAGCGTATGTAGTGGTATGGCCCGCTAGTTGCGGGCCGCGCGAATTTGCGTTCGCGAGTACATTGACCTTTAGTCAGGTGATACAATTCAGTCATTCCACTGCTGGTTTTATGTTTCAGTATTTTCATGATATTTTTTATGAAATTATCGTTTCATTTAGCTGTACTAAAATGATGGCGCGTGAATAAAGCTAATAAAACGTTGTTAAAAGATGATTTTTTTTTCATCAGGATCGAATTTATTTGTGACCCATGATCAAAGGTATACTTGGTGCTGTCGCCTGTCTTAGTTTTCGGGAGCGTTCCAAAAATACCCTGTATAATCTCCATATGAGGCTTTTTGGTTTGGGTCGGCAAAATGACTAAGCTTGCTGCAAAAGTGTGTCAATCATTATTTTTAAGAAATAAAGTAATTTACGACAGGTTTCACTACTGTCGTCTAATATTTGTGTATGTGATTGTAGGGCGAATGTTAGGAGAGGAGTTAAACAAACGAATGATGATACAAGACTCTCTTTATTGTATTAATAAATTTGATTATATAGGATTATTATTACACTTGTGTGTGTACTTTTATATACCCTTACTACTACTACTACACCTTCCATCCAAAAGAAAAAAAATGTGTCAATACAAGGATACATTTTTTTTTGATACATTAAAAGATTTTATTTTCGTAAATATTAGGAACAGTTACATTATAAAATAATATATAAGGTATTTATTTTCAGAACATTTTTTTTTCTTTTTTTTATGATTATTTAATTTAGAATATTTATAATTACGTAATATTAAGTAATCTACAGACGGAAATAATAATAATAACAATAAATGTACTTAGATTCAGCATATAAAATATGTTTTATTTATTATTGGATATACAATTTCGTGCGGTTTTTATGTACTAATTCATTTTTACCATTTTTAATTATTTCTACGTTTGGTGTTACATCTTTAACAACTTTATAAGGACCAGAGTATAGATCACTTAGTTTATTACCTGACTCATTTTTTAAGAGTACTAAATCATTTACATTGTATTTTATAGGCTTGGTATATTTATCAAATATAATTTTTCTCTTTTCTTTAGACTTTATCAAATTATTTCTTGCCTCTCTTTGTGACAATTGTAACCTGTATTTGAGCTCACATGGATAATGATCGTAGTTATAAAGTGGCTCTAAATCTACTGTCAAATTACTAGGAAGTGAACATTTTTTACCAAAGACAAGTTCATAAGGACTGAATTTCGTCTCTGTATGAACTGTCGTATTATAGGCAAACGACCAAAATGGTAACCAGTCGCTCCATGTTTCAGGGTGATTATCAATTTGAATGCGAAGAAAAGCATTTAAATTTTTATGTGACACTTCCAACGCACCTAGTGATTGGTGGTGGTAAGCAGTCGAATTTAATTGTTTTATTTGAAGCAATTTACATACCTCTTGGAATAATGATGCGGTGAACTCTTTCCCTCTGTCCGTAGTTATTACTTTCGGTACTCCATACCTAAGAATAAAGTTAGTGA